ACTATTATACAGGAGATCCAGTCAAGGGGTTCTGTTATGTATTGTCGCTTATTTATCAGGATCTACACAGTGCAGGGTAAAGGCTAAAAAAAAAGGGTAGGCTCATAAATTAAATTAAATGGCAAGCACACTTATTAATACAATTATAAACATATATGCGAGAGACAAATAAGTAAACCATGGTAGAACAAAAATAAATGCACAAAATATGCAAGATCTATTTGACTGTACATCGTTTTTGACTTTTATCTTTTGAAAGATGGTTGCTCGAGTAGTTCCTCTGAAGTTTCAACAGGACAGTGAGAAAAGTTTTGTAACTTATCGTTCCTTTCCTTTGGCAACAATTTCTAAGAAAATGTACGCAACCATCGTTTTGCAATCATTCTAAGATGACTTGCTACGGGTCAATGATTTATCAAAGTATAGTAATAACACTTCACAATATTTTAACTCAGTCCAATATTCTTATATGTTGTCCACATCACTGACACATGTGGTCAAATCTAATAGATATAGTTAAAATATAACATACCATTTTTACATTTGACAGTTTGGCATTTCAATCTCAGCTGTTTCCAGTAATAGGAATTATGGCTGCCTTCCTCTCCAGTCTTCGCTTTTGTTTCACCTAATACATTCCTACTAGGGATGCACGATATTGGTTTTTTGAAACCGATACCGATAACTTCCTGCTTCTCAAGACCGATACCGATAACCGATAATAATATAATATATATATATATATATATATATATATATTAAATGTACCTGTCGTTTTTGCACACCTGGTGGTAAAAAAAAGACTAGTAGTGAGCAAATGACATGAGCATTACTACTATGAACAAAACAAAGCCAAGAACAGTTTTGACTCTTCAAAGTGACCATATTTATTTTCTCAAATAAACTTCTTGCCTTTTTCAAAAGCCTCGTCGATAGGTAAAAGCCCCGGTGCCTTTGCAGCTGGCTTTGGATTCGCCGCTAGTTTAGCAGCGCAGGCGTCTTCGTACGCTTTTAACACACCATCGTAGCGATGGCGATGTTTCAGGTGACTAATCAGGTTGGAAGTATTATAGCTCGTTGCCTTTTTCCCTCCTCGTGGAACTTCTGCATTTGTTAATACAAATAGCAAGCGAACTATCTAACTCTGAAACTTTGAAATAGTCCCATACTACCGACGACATGTTTGTTTACTGTCCTTGCTTCACGGCCGCACACCATTTACGTCACAGCCAGGCATGAGTTAGTTAGGGAGCGCTGGATTTGTGAAAAACTCCCCTCTATCTAAACCACTAATTAATACCACAGTACTGGCAAAACGGGAGGATCCGAGTGAAAAACAAGCGCCCCTCATCCCAATCCACCCACACCGCAGTATGTTTTTCTTTTTTTTTTACCCAAAAAATATATTGTATATTATCGGGGCTATTAATACTTTTATCGGGTTTATCGGGATGACGTCATAAGTCCTAATATCGGACCGATAATTATCGTGCACCACTAATTCCTACCATCGTTAGCATTGTCAGTCACACTGAAAATGCAAAAGGGATTATGCTGTTCAGTTTATTACATCAGAAGCACTGTAACAAATCACCATGAGCGGAGTTGGGTGTAACAATATTACTTTTGTCGGTAACGGAGTAGTGTAACGCGTTACTTTTATAATTCAGTAATCACACTGCAGTTACTAACATTGCCCCGCCACGCGTTACTTCGTTACTTTTATAAAATAATCACACTCACTGACAGACAAGAGGGGTTTCCGCCGCAGGTTTATATACATGTAGGCCTATGTAATCTGCGCGATTTGCGGGACCACATCTCCACGTGCAGTGCTGCATAAACATGGCTGAGTCTTTTCATCTGTAAACTCCCTCATCGGGGCCGCTCGCTCTCTTTTGTTGATCGCCCTCTCACGGGTGAACAGTTCAATGTCCCGCTTCATTGTAGGAATTCTGCCATGTCTCTACCACTTTAGTTTGATCATCTCTGTTACTAAGTTATGGAATACTAAATAAATAAGTAATTAGATAACTTACCGTTATGCGCTCATAAAGAATGATAAGGATAATGCGTCTTGAACTGGTTTCATTAATTAGTGTCTTGACGTTTCACAGACTGTTAGCTTGTTGTGTGGCTGGTAGCCTATTTTAGAGCATATAAAAAGAAAGACTTGTGTTATGTCTTCCTTAATGCAATAGTAATTGGGGGGCAAGTGGAGTCTCGCAGAGGCAAAACTGTGGCGCGCCGCAGTCTGCGTGATCTGCCTGTAGGGAGGGGCGGGCCGGCCCTGCGAGTAACGAGTAAAGTAACTAGTTACTTTATGTAGAGAGTAACGAAGTAGTGTAATATATTACTTTTTAAAAAAGTAATATGTAATATATTACTTTTTTTTAGTAACGACCCCATCTCTGACCATGAGGATACATTTAACATGTCTTCAACAAAATGTGGACAAAACCTTTGAAAATAGGAAATGCTACAAAGTTCGTGTTAAGTTAAAGACTGTCAAACTGTATTGTAATGAAACTGATAGGAGTTTCAGTTGTTCATGTCAACTCGGTGTATAGACAAATCATATCAAGTATTTTGTAGCAACGTGAATACGACGTGTGTTATGGAAGCTATTTAGACCAAATCTGCTACAGAATATTAGTGAATTGCATTTTGTACACTTAATACCACAATATAAACATTACACAACATTGCTATATAACATGTGCAATATTATTATTATGAATAATGTTCTATAAATAACGTGCAATCTACCACAACGTGTTTTGCACTACTAAATACTGTCAAACTCAAGGCCCGGGGGCCAATTCAGGCCCTTGGTGGATTTAATTTCGGCCCGCAGGATAATTTCTAATTACTATTAGATCTGGCCCGCCGGTATATTGCACGCACACCTTCACTCAACCCTGAGGGTCTCCTCCGCTCAGAGCCTGAGCCCAAACATTGATGACCTTGCACCCAAGATGAGACGCCAAGTATCTGCTTGAACTAGCATCACAGAGCAGCACACTGAGTTTAATGGATGTTTCCTTCTGCACTTTGTTTCTCACGACAACAGGGCATGTTTGGTTTTCTCTTTGAGGGAAATAGTTTTTTTAAAGCTGTTGTTGGCCTGTGGAAAAATGTGATCATAAGAAATGACTCCGGAAAAGCTGCAGATAGAGCCATAAGAAATTAATGCAACTGATTATTTAATGTTTAATGTTGTTTTTATAGGCAATAATTTAAGCTTTGTTAGTTCCAGGTTTAATATGTGCAATAAGTTCATTTCAATAAGTTTTGCAATAAACAATGAACCAGTCCCTCGACTTGTAACCATTTTTTTTTTTTTTGGCCCACTGTGTATTTGAGTTTGACACCCCTGCTGTAGATATTGAATTGCTCTTTTTACTGCACTGTTAGTGTAGTTTTATTATTATTATGCTCCTGTGTTTATTGTATTCTTGTAACTCTGGCACAACAATTTCCTTCGTGATATATAAAGTCCTATCTTATCTTAAACATGGTGACTCATTTGAAACTCTCTTGCAGGGATGGAGGCTTGAAACGAGGCAAGGTAAAAGAAACCTTTAAGGAGGAGCAGCAGAAGCTGTACAGTAAGATGCTGGTGGGGACCCAGGAGGACCGCAGCCGCTCCTGAAGGACCTCTGGAGGAGGACTGGCTCACTTCGGCTCCTCTGACTAACTCTGCAGTCAGCAAGGCTCCTCGCTACTGGAGCTCTTGGACTGGAAAATTCCCTCTCTGATGTCAACAGTACTCCATTTGGCTTCCTCGGTCACTGCCTCAGACGGGCGTGTTCAGTCTGCGTCGCTCTTACGGGTCACTCCGAGTCCGCTGCCCTCCGTTGGAATAGCTTGACTGAAGCCTCGCTTGCATTAGAATGAAATTAAGGTGCGAACACAAAAGAAGCGTTGTCTTCCACGTTGACAGTCTTTTGAGGGAAAACTTGTCTTTTTTATCTTTAACTGAGTTCCTGTCCTTTGTTTGGTAGTGTCAACATTTTAATTTTACCGTCATGTTCGTCCCACACTGTGTTAACGTTACAGAGCTCATCACACCTGGGACATAGAAGAGAGTTACTGTCTAGTCTGTTCTGACGCTAAAACCTGTGACTGAGTTTGGGTTTCGCATGACCGGCTGTGCCCGTGATTTAGGGCATAATGCCAGCTTTTGTTACATTTCAAATATTTGTATGGGCTTTTTCCAAGAGAGAATAACTTGGGTTTTAAGCTCTGTGTTTTACATTAAGACTTGTATCAACACATGTGGTCACTATATGAGTTACATTGCAGATAAGCTCTTGGTATGTTATCTGTTTCTGTGTTTCTTCCATGGAATGTGTAAATGATCACATTATGAAATGGAAATTGATTATCTACAGTTACTCGGATGAAGGCTCATGGATTAAGGGAGATTTTTCCAAATGTTCTCGGGCAAAATGCAGCATACCTAACTGGAGAAAAAAGTTTTATAGTCAATCCATTGTCTCTTTAAGGAACATTGCACACAAGTATGTAGGATGATTCACAATTTGTCTCTTGACTAAAAACACATTAATACACTTCCTAACAGGCATCATGTTCTACCGTAGCTTCCTGCTTGTGCAGTGGCCATCTTGCCTAATTTATTTTAAGTGAACACTAAAAGTTATTGTCTTTATTTTCTCCCACATCAGTGGTCTTTCTCCTGTTTGGCAGCCTCTGCGGAGAGTGCAGCTGTAGTTTGGACTCCCTGTACGGCTCCATGTGAGGGACTCGGGGACCTGGGGGGTTTCTCCCTGAGGCCCCGGTCCCTTTTGTTTACTGTGATCAGGAACAGTTCTCTAGTGTTAAATCTGTTCATCAAATAAATGTGCAAGAATGTGTCTCTACCTTTTGACTTCAGGGGTTTTTGTGCTTTTCACACTGTTGGTGTTATCATCCTCCGATGCACAAAGGGCTCTGAACATACAGAAGCAAAGGAAACCAGAAGTCTCATGCCATGGCAGCAGATATGTGTACAATATAGATTGTTTTAAGGAAATGCATGTCTGTGGTTTCTACAATCAAAAAAAACAAAACACCTAAGCATTACAAATTTAAATTGGACAATAACAATGCTGCAGGGTGAGCTAAATATTTGCAAGTTAAGTTCAATGAATAGCTAATTGCACAAAATTATAATTATATGACATTAGAAGTTTCCATTGTATACTTTATAACTCGTGGTGTAGGTTATTTTTCTTTCACCAGCAAGTCTTTGCAAAATCAAAGGATTTATTTGCTATTTTTAGAATTTGATGTTTTTGCTCCAAAACAAAATTGTCTGCGGCGGCTCGTCTGTGCTAGTCTATGCAAGCCACGACTGATAACATTTCCTGTCTTACTTTTTGTCCAGTAGGCACCAAGCTGCTATAACACAGCCTGGCATGCAGACTGGGCTTTTATAATGAGTATTTATTCCCTCGCGTACATTGTACTCAGGTTCCAGTCTAAATAGTATCCCTTTCCCTGTATGTATGCTGTTGGTTCTTTTGCAGCTGCTTCATCTAAAACCCAGGCCTCTCCTGGCTGCAATAAACCACCTCAGTCCTTTCAGAGAGGTTTCCCCCTTTAACTCGCTTTGTTTCCAAACCGGTGATGGACGTGGCAGCATTCTTTTACATCCCTGTTGCAATAGTTTCAAATGGATGTGTTGAAGTTGGGGAATAAAGCGCACAGTGCTCAGGGGAGGAGTGAGAGGAAGCAGGAAACTCAAAAGCTTGGCTGTGACCACCATGCCATGGTTGATCAGCTCCATTACAGCACTATAGAGCCAGAGTTTGGCCCCTAGCAGTCTTTGCTTTACCCCCAGACTGCTGGGTGGCACTGATCCATCGACTCCAAAATAAGACGATTACAGATCTACGCTGCACTGGGTAGAGAAGTAGTCTGTAGCTGTGTTGTAAAATATTGTGGTTACTTTGTGGTGATGACTGGAAGCTGTAGGAGGCTGGCAGTTCTAGATAAATGACTATCCTGTAGGTCTTGCACTTAAAAACAAAACAAGTCACACTGATATGCTAGTTTACGCAAGAAGAGCATCGAATGGGCCGTGCCGCTGTTGCAATGTTTTTGAAGATGACAAGGCAAAGTCACAAATAAAGATGTTAATATTTTTATAATTATGAGGTTTGGTGGATAGGAATTTAATGCAAACTTGACTCAGTGTGAGGACTTTCATTGAAAGACTACGTTTAACAGGAAAAAAGACGAACTTCCTGTTGAGACTTCATAGAATGAGCCTGTGGTATGTTGAGTGGTGAGTTGAGTAATTTCGTTTTCATGTCTGTGTTGAGTTGTACATCATAGGCTTTGGTGGAGAGTAACATTTGAGTAGCCTATTTACATTTTCAGCTACTTCACTTGTACTTCACTACTTTTCAGAAGTAAAGTGTCTGATCCACTTCATTTATTTGGCATCTTTACTGACCATTCAGAATGATAATACAAATATATATAAATGATTAAATGAACCCGTGGTGAAATTCACTAGCTACCCAACAGTGTGTATAGTACAAGATTAACCTCTCTTTTACCAGCTGTAATATACAGGTTACAGGTTATAATTGAAGTAGAATATAATACAATATAAATGAATGCTGTGATATTAGTTATGTTAAGCTAAGTAGATCATTTGAAACACAGGCCAACATACAAGTTTGTAGGCCTATGCCAAAAAAAAAGTCATATAAAACCATTCTCTGATATGGTCTGTTGGCAGCATGTGAATACTAACAAACTACATTTTGAGACCATATACTTTTATAAATAGAACCTTGAATGCAGGACTTTCACTTGTAAAAGTAAAGCACTACACTTTGGTATTTATACTTTTACTTAAGTAAACCACCTAAATACCTCCACCTCTGATTGTAGGCTACAATTGGGTATTTTACTACATCTACCAAGTCATTATTGTAGTAGAATACTAGTTTCTATAGCATCTCATTGTGGGATTTTACACAATCGTATCAGTTGTTGTAGAATAAATCAATAGGGGTTTATGTTGACACAATTGGTTACGTTGAGTAGATCGTTTGGAATAAAGACCAACACACACGTTTCATGGTAATCAATAAACTTGGGATAATCTTCAGAGGGATTTATACTTTGAAGCAGAGCTAAGGGGTTATAAAACTAATAGGAAGACTATAATGGACTATGTAAAAGAAAGGGGCGGAGCACCGTATAAGCAGCGCTGCCTGCCTGTCTGCTCTGCCCGGTTATCTGAGGGTTGTGAAGGCGGCAGCAGATGCGTCTCCATGCTGCTTTAAGTCCGCTAAGAAGCCACTAGTCCAATTAACTGAGGGGTGGCGGACATAAACGCATGCAGGCTATTCAACTCTCCAACGACGATGGATATGAGCGCCTCTCCGGCACATGACGACTTGAAACGACTGACTGCCATAACAAAACAAGTTGGACCAGAAACGACTCAGTATTTTCAGTGATGTACTTTGAGCGGTGGTAGTCTCGGTTTCTGGGCTCAAACATTAAGCCTTTATAAGCTCCTGCAGAGTTGTGTTGTAAGGCCTGCGTCACACGGAGTTTCCTCGCTGTTTGTGGAGCAGTCTCGGTAACATGGAAACATACGCTGATGTGCTGCTTGTCACCGCAAATGTCGGCTCACTCTTTGACAATGTAAGTATAATAACAATTAAACCACGCTAAAGTCCTGTCAGAGGATTATACTTGATGCTGATAGTGGAATAATGAGGAAACAGGAGTAAAGTTTTACATTTAAGGCTCACCTTACATTTTCGGTATAAGGATGTAACAGGTCTTCATGACGCGTTACTTAATCCAACACATAGCCTGTTTTATACTGTGAAGTACTCAGCCGTGTTTATCTTCTCTGGCTGTCACTAACATGTGCGCAATATCCCCTGTGGTTACTTCAATAAAAGCCACAACAGTTGTCTATGGTTAATATTAAACGTGGGATGTGAAAGTTTCATGCTTCATGTTTTCAGCCCTCATGTGACCTTCTCCTTGTTGTTGCATTGCAATCTGTGATCACTCTGCAGGGCAAGCCATGAAAAACAGATGACAATATTCACCTAATGTTTGACCTTGGAAAAAAATGAAACCAAGCCTATGTAACGTGTTTACAATCATTGCCTAATTTCAGGGTTATAAAGGCCTCTTGTACATACTGAATATCATGTATTTTGATGCCTGTAGGTATGACAATAAGTGTAATAATTCAAAACCAGGGGTCACATTTCATAGTATGAAAAACAACCTTGCATGTTGATGATCTAATTCCTCAATCAATTATGTTTTACAATATTTATTTCTTCATTCTGAGACATGTTTTTTGTTTTTTGTCAGTGTGGCTGCTGCATATCTTGGCTAGGACATTTTTGGGTTAAATACAAGTTTAACCCACGCAAAATCCAACCTGTCATTTTGCTGATACAGACCTAAAATGTGGGCCTAATCGGAGTTCACATAACTTGGTCTTTTGTTCCCCCAATCATCCCTAAAATGATCATGCCATTCAGTGTTTTAGGTTTGTGCCCCAAAGCAGTTGTTATCCAGATATTCTAAAATGGTACGCTTTTATTAAACCCCCCCTTCTATATTTATATTAAAATGTAGTCCTCTGTTGACCCTTCTCCATATTCATCATGGCCCTTTACAACTGTATTACTGTATGTGCAGTTAATCGCTGTTGAAAACCACTGCTTATGACGTTCATTCAGGAAGAGTCTGTGTTACTCAACAGTTAGTTTCCTTATCATACTGTTTGGCTTTTACATCATCGGCTCCAGCGTTATCACTATATTTTCTATATATCTTGCATACTTATTTAAACTATAGTTCATAGTCTAGTCTTGACTGTTTGTATCTTTACCTATCTAGACGACTTTTCCGAATGTATCTTCACTCTTGGTGGATTCAGTTTGGGCCTTTGTCAGCCCAGACATCACTTTTGGACTCTGCAGGGAGGAGGGCTCGTACACTCATGGAAATTTGGCTCAGGACCATGTTTCCGGTTGCCAAATCTGTCTCTAATGAAAACACGTTATATGCTATTGTGGGAGATATGTAAACAGATGAATATCTCCCCCAGGGGACTTGCGCTTTTTCTACTGGTTTAGGCCCCCGTATTTCCATAAACACTCCTAAACGTTCACCAAGCCTTCGGGATAAGAGCAAGACCTTAAGCACATCACAGGATAAATCCCCCTGCTTTACTGGAGCCGTGTGTCCCGTCAGAGTTAAGCCAGTGGGACAGACAACTATTTATTTATGTAGCCCCTTTCATACAAACACGCAAGCCAAAGGGTTTGAATAACAATAATCAAGAAAAACAATAAAATGTAATCAATCAGAAATACAAAAACAATAAATGGATAGAACATATCTAACGAAAACAATTATGAAAAGATTTAAATGTAAGGCGTAATCAGTACCCCAAATGAAAGCCAGGTTAAATACTTTTCCCTGTAAAAGTATAGAAAGTGCTTGTATTTCTAATATCCATAGACAGTGAATTTCAAGGTTTAGTGGCATAAACACAGAAAGCACTCCTTGGTACTTTTGTTGGACAGATAAGGAACATTAAAAAGCAAATTGGTGGAGGCCATCAGTGATCTGGCTGGAGCATACAATTAGAAAACATCTCAGATGGTTTACTTCTACTCTGTGCTACCAGCAACATTGCAATGGCCCACCAAAGCAGTATCCTGGAGATTTAACCTATTGTTCCTTGCGAGCTTGATTAATGACTGTATAGACTCAGCTGCAGTGAAAAGACGTTATTTAAACAAAATCTCGCTGTATACATACCAATGGTGTCAGACAAGTTATATAATGTAACAGGAGATCAGTTGTTGGAACATTTTCTATTGCCAAAGACACATTTCGTCCATGTTTCGTTAACAAAGCATAAACTAAATCACCATGCTGGATTCATTAAGGCTAAAAGTCTTTTGGAGTAGAGTTGCTGTGGTTTCACATAAGGCTTCTCTCATTCAAAGAGCCCAGTCTCGCTGCCTGCCTCAGTGCTGCTAGTTTTACAAAGAGACATTACGATGTTCAGTTCTTTAAATTATTCACTTTCACCTCCTCCTTTTATTACTTTATACATAATCTTATCTTCAGTTAGGTCTGGGCAATATGGAGTATATCAAATGTGACAATATGTTTGACCTAAAACCACACTATGGATATTGTGTTGATATTGTAGGGGTGACTATTTATGCTTTCACAGGATATTTACAGAAGGAGAATTTATGAAAGTATTGTCAGTCATATGGATTTATTGACTAGGTATGTGATGGTAAATAATAGCACAGCTAATACAGTCTGGTTAATTCAGAACATAACATCACATTACTTTTGTGCAGCTTTGAAAACCAATAATTAAATCAGTCAAATGTTATTTATATCGCCCAATATCACAAATAATTGTTTCGGGGGCTTTACAACGTTACCAGCATACAACACTTGGACCCAAGTAACGTAGAAGGAAAACAATTCCCAAAGAAAGCCCACAATTAACGGGAAAAATAGAAGGAACTTCATGGAGAGCAACAGAGGAGCGATCCCTCTAAGGACAGAAAGACGTGTTAAAGATATCATGTGTATATATTAAAAAAGACTATAAAATTACAACATAGACAATCAAACTGAGAAAAATGATAATGTGAACGAATAAAATAAAGATGGATCCAGGAGGATATCAAAAATCTACCCGGTGCCGCCAAAAACAGCACTTAGATATCCAAAATCTAAGACAATATCTAGTCTTATATCCCAATATGTATCGACAGGCCTAATATTGAGTGTAAATGCTGTATGGACATCATCTCTAAAGCATATGTTACAGTTCTAGCTGAATGACTCATGGTCAGAGTTGTGTTTGTGTCCAGAGCGTGCTCTGCCATGCAAATCTGTTCTCTATGCAAAGCCATTTCTAAGCCAGTATGAATACACCTGGCGTCGCAGAAGGTTACACAATAAACTGGAAAAGTGGGTGTGTGGGAAAGGAAATATGATTATAGCACTCTATGAGCTTTTATTTGAACTTTTACTGGATTTGTTTTCAATTGAATGAATGCTTATGGTCCACAAAAACAGAAAAAGATAGAGGATTATCTGGGATGAGAATCTAGAAGCTTGCATGTAGGAGGAAATATTTCTCACACCCATTTGTACTTTCACAAATCAATTTAATAATTTCACAGCAAGGCAAAATGTTGCAGCTACAATACTGAACGGGCAATAGTCTGCTAAGTTAGCCCCTTCCCTGTTTGACAGAGCTCATTGTGTAAGATGTGTCCTTATTCATGTTTAATAATATACTCAGTATTGCCATGTAACATAAAACTCACCACCAGAGGCAGTTTGGACGGTTGCCAGATTACTACAGGTGCAGCTACACCTGTCTACTTCCTGGAAAACACATCCATTGGAAACGCAGGATGATATTTCCACACAATCTTTATTGTGTGTCTGTTTCCTTTAATGTCACTTCCTGAATTCCACTTTAACTGTTTGTCTGTTATCTGCTCCCATGTCCTTTAAAGGCCAGAAGCCAATACAATTAAAATAAAACAATTAGTGTTTCTTTATGTCCCATGTGAATGGAGTAATACTAAACTACCTCATTGTATGTGCTTAAAGTGAGCGTTAATAGTTAAAGCTTCTCTTATAAATGTTAATGTATTAAAGAATGTTAAATAAATGTGCATATTGTTAATAGAGTTGCTCAGATTGACAAACCCAATTATTGCATTTACTGTATACTGATGTCTCCAAAAAAAACAAGCAGGTTTAATATTTCATTTGAAACATTTTCTGAAAGACAGATTTCACGCTTTTGATGTTTTTCCTCTTTGTTTTATAGCTTGGTGAAATTCAAAATGAATGGTTGCGAGAATTGTATAAGGTAAGTTTGGGAAGCCTGGCTCTTGCATTTAAACATTTAGTATGTCCACCCATCACTGGTATTGTCTCGTATTTGTCTCTTACATTTTATGGACAGTCTTTTACATTCAAAATACAGATATGTTAGTGGAATATGGCATCATTACGTTTACAACACTCACACAACAGTTACCTATTAAACAGGAAATGTTTATTAGCACTGATAGCACATCCAGATTTGAAGTTCCACATGACCCCTAGAGGACAGTTCACTTCATCCTGTGATACGCAGTGTTGACCCCTTCCCTCTCCATGCTTCTGTAATGTAAAACCTGCAGACTAACACGTGTCTCTGTTTCAGACGATCCACAGCCACAAGCCGCAGTTCATCGCCCTGCACTTCCAGGAGGTGGGAGGGAAGGACTACATGGCCAACATGGGACACGCCGAGAACTTCTTTTGGTAGGACTAATGTGAATTAGTATTCACATCTTTGACTGAAGTAAACTTATATAACACAGTCAAAGATAATTGAAGTCCTGAACTCATAACCGTTTTTAAAGAGGCCTTATTATGCTTTTTGGGGTTGTCCCTTTCCTGTTGTGTGTTATATAGGTTTGTGTGCATGTAAATGGTCTGCAAGGGCTAAAATCCCAAAGTTCAACCCAGAGGGAGTTTCTATCCCATACTTTGTTTGTGCATAAATGTTCATAAAAAAGTAACTTATGCTGTCGGACAAATGTATTGGGGTTCAAAGTACAATATTTGTCTCTGGGATGGAAACCTTTCCAGCAAAGTCATGTTTTTCCACCATAAGGAAGAAAGTCGTTTGAATCATACGGCTGCCAGTACCAATTATTGTTGACGTATTCATTTCTACATTTATCAGTTCATCTTTTAGTCTGTTAAAAAACTGAAAAAAGGTTTCCCAAATCGATACCTCTGTTGTTCTTGGTCTGTTCCAGGATCATTGAATCGAGCGAGGAAATGAAAGACTATGACAGGGTCTGCATCTATGTTGACAACCAGTTCCAAACAGAAGACAGTTTCACGGTAAGAAAAACCCAATCTGTTCAGAGTAGTTCATACGGGCCGCCACATGATGGAGTCCTCCTCCATGTTAGTGGTTAGCGCTATGTGCAGCTGTTATGTTCTCTCTGACAAGCAGGAGCTGATTTCTGGTCATCACGTTAGGTGGAGAGGAGCATCGGAACATTTATTTGACCATATTACAACATTGAACAAGTGAACTTTAAAGGTCCCCTGTTATACTGTTTTTCATCAATATATTACAGCTCTCAGATATATACAAACATGTCTCTGAAGTGTTTGGCTCCAAACACCAAACAGATCATTGCAGCATTACCCATAATCCCCTCTGTTTCAGCCCTGTTTCAAAAGTGCTGATTCTCTGTCTGTTACTTTAGATGAAAATAAGTAGCCCCTCCCCACGCCCCTCTGAGAGACATTTGGTTACAAAGAACACAATGGTGCTCTAGGAGGAGATTCAGGTGATAAGGGGGGGGGGGGGGTTACCTTGGTTGCTGATTGGCTAACGGTTACACAAGCCAAACAATCGTGATGACATCATAAAGTGGCCAAAATCTGATCAGCTCATTTTCAGACAGGTTTTTATAGAAATGGATCAGGACAAAAAGAGAGAGAATCTTTGTTCCTGAAACTTTCAGAGTCTCTTTCCACAGAGGGGACACACGTTGATGTAGAAGAGACGATTTTGCATAAAGGTGACCTATAGGTAACCTTTAAGATTGATCAAGATGGATTGAATTTGAACATGGATTAATTATATTCTGTATGTATACTATTTGAGAAAGTAATTAGATCTATTATTTTTGCTGAAGAAAAGGGGATACATTTGAGTGACTTGTGATTATGTCTCAATCTTAAATCGGAACACAACTCATAAGTGGATATTTTTATAAAGTGAGAAGGCTTTGACAGGATGTTTTGATCCTGTTTCCCATTGCTGATGAAGACAAGCTACATACAGGGTTCTTACACCTTTTCCAAAGTCAAATTCAAGCACCTTTCAAGCATTTTCAAGGTGCATTTTCCAGCTTTTCAAGCATTTTACAGCTATTGTAAATTACATATTTATATACACATTATTTCCCTACCTCACATTAAATCAGATGATCTTTATGCTATAAACAACCAAATGTGTGTTTCGTGATAGCCTTCTACACGAGGATGAAAAATTAAAGAAAAGAAAACTAAGTTTAATATTTCAAAATGTGTGATCTGTCGTAGACTGGGCCTCCCATATAACCTGTCTGAGCCAATATAAAACAATCAGCCAAATAACTTTTCAATACATTATTGATTACTATTTTTGAGGTACTTTTAGGTTGGCAGTAAACAAAAGTCAGAGGTAAATGGTGTACTTTCACTCCTCTACATGTATTTAATACATTTAGTTACTTTATAGATGTGGATGAATGATGTGAAATATAATCAAGTGTTAAATCTTTAGTTCCACCTGGAGTAAATCCACCAGCTACCCTGCAGTATACAAAGTCCTTCAAACTAGCTGCACCTTTACCAGCTTTGAGAACACTTTAAGGATCAATCATTATAAAACATATCATATATTATTCTGAAATGGACCGATCTGCACAACGACTACTTTTACTGTCGCTACTTTAACTATATTTGGATGAGAATACTTTTCTACTTTCACTTGAGGAACATTTATTTGAATGCAGGACTTTTACTGTGACAGAGTATTCCTACACTCTGGTACTTCTACTTTTACTAAGTACACGATCTGAGTACTTATAACTTCACTACAAGATCTGAGTACTTATACTTTTACTCAAGTACAATATCTGAGTACTTATTCCACCTCTGGTAGCGTATTAGTCTGAATTGTAGCCACAAAATCACGCAGAGCTGCATAAAAATAGACTCACACTGGTAACAAGTGGAAAATAATATTTACAAATGTGTACAATGATTTGTAGGTAATGCTGACTACTCAAGACACCTGACTTCTTCAAAGGAAGACTGTGTTCATTCTACAATTACATGGGATTAAAGCAACATGTAGTTTTACTTGTATAATACTTCAATTGTATATAAAAGACAGTTTGTTTTCATCTGTTTTCAAATAAACAAAGTATTGGCTTTCAGAATATTAAACTTGTTTCAGCAAATTCAGATGATAAATACAACTTTGAAGCTTCGGCATAATTACAAGCAGAGAACGGACTAATGTAACATCACAGCAAGCATAACAACAGCCGGTGTTTCTTGTAAGTGTTTCCCCGGGAAACAAACGCAAAAATACACAAACACACTCTCGAGCTTCCCCCAGACCAGTAATACAAACGAAAATGTGTCTTCGGGTCAATGTGACTGATTTCGATAGAGCAAGTCACATTTGGTTTAGGCACGAAACATACTACCAGTAGAAATACATTGCTTTCAAAATCGCTCTGTGTCGAATCAATAGATTATATTTCGTGACTATAACACGAAATGCCGTGAGTGCTTCATCCTCTGAACACCACAGGATGGCGACTGTAACGCACATAACATAGGTTACGCTCCTCTGAAATGATTGTCCCCTGCAATTATTATTATCCCTCAATCGAGTTCGCTATTCAGCTCGCTAACGTTAGCTTAAACAAACGTAACATGCAAAGTTAGCCTAATCTAAAATGCTCTTCTACGGCGTACCTTTCATGTGGCTCGTCAGCGCAGACTCTCGCATCGATATTTTTGCAAACCTTACAGGAGGCTACTCGTGGGCTTGACCCTCGTCTTAGCCATGGCTTGTATTTGTCTTCTGCTAGCCAACGCTCGTTGAAACTGCAACCTCCTGGCACACAGTCATCTATCACTCTCATCAGAATGCCCAGGTCACACGTAACACAAACACTTGCAGGTCGCGCGCATAGCGCGGGAAGGCCGCAGAGGAGCTGTTTTATGTAGAAGCAAAGCAATTATTTTTCTTTTAATCTAAAAAGCGAACTATTCAGTCAGACAGCAATTTATTGTAAAAGTAAAGCATTTACATTTTCAAGCACTTTATCTCAATTTCAAGCACCATTCCCAAAATTCAAGCACTTTCCCAACCTTGAAAACACCACGTCAAATTTCAAGCATTTTCAAGGATTTCAAGCACCCGTACGAAACCCTGTACATAGTTCAAATGTTCCATTATCTGAAGGATCAGGTCCGACTCGTCGTACATTGTATTTTGTGTGTGAGTGTAAACAGGCTCCTCCTTGTTTGCATCTCATCACAAAACAGATCAGTGAAGCAATGCTAAGTTAAGGACCTACTGTATCGAACTTGAGCTGAGATTACAGGTAAAGATTGTATCAGTGTTTTTGTTTCAGAGGGGACCTTTGACCTAAAGGAAGCCTTTAAGACCAAGATGATTTAATACCAATCCCTTCTAATACCATCTCATTAGCCACAAATACAATGTGTACATGACCTTACTTTATAAGATGTCGAAATTATTAGTATTGTAAGGGAAACTTCTGCAGCAATAGAGAGTCAGGACATAGAGAGACACGAGGAGAGTTGGAGCTTTGATGTCAAACACTGATAGTTTATTACAAGTCAACGGCCGGAGAATTCATATCACAAGTCACAGCAGCAAAGATCAAATCAAGTTTTATTTATACAGCACATTTATAAACGATTTTTGGTCGAGCCAAAGTGCTGTACATATAATAAAAATAGCCTACAGTAGAGACACTTTACAGCAAATACAACAGCACAGATTGTTCAGAATATCAGTATGAGAAAAACGACACCCTCTGTCCTTAGACCCTCACATCGTACAAGGAAAAACTTCCAGAGAAAACCCACAGTTTAAAGGGAACATGGGAGAAACCTCAGGGAGAGCAACAGAGGAGGGATCCCTCTCCCAGGACGGACAGACGTGCAATAGATGCCGTGTGTAAATCGAAGAGATAATACATTTTACAGCATATAGACCGAATGTAGGAAATGCATGTGTCTGTAATAAGAAGATGAATCCACGAGGATGTCAGCTACAATCCTGTGGAAGCCATCAGGGAAGCAGCATGACGAGACCCCAGGCAGGACCACAGAGACAGGTTCAGCCACGACCCGAAGTCCACGACTTAATCCAGAACTCAGGATAGAGGATCCAAGACACAGGACTACAGCAAGAGGATCAGCCTCGACTCCGGATCCCGGCGTAGATATAGATACAAAACAAGAAAAAAGATTTGGCTGGGTTAATCGGAACAAGAGAATACACAGACACAGACAGAGAGGGAAAAGGTCATTGGATAAAAGTTATTCTTGATAACCCTCTAGAACAGGGGTCTCCAACACGTCGATGCCGCAGCTTTTCAGTAGCTCGCCGCTCGATTATCGATTATAGTGTAGTAACGTTGCTTCTTGATTTTTCGGCCGCGGCCGGACAATAAAGTGTTTTTATTTTAGAATTGTTTCTGTCACACACATATAAAATTGGTCCGTGACGCAGAGATCAAGGAGCAGATGTGACAGCGGCACAGCGACACCACACATGGAGCAGTCTGCTTTATCCAGCAGCACCAGTCCAGAACCAACGGCAGAATGACCCGCTCTGAATCAGTCCGGGTCGCTGCGGCTCAGAGACACACAGGGAGGGATTTGTGTTTTTGAAAAATACTCGTTATCGTCATGTCAGGTTTTTGTTGGATTCAATCAAGTCTTGGATTGCAGAGTATGAATGTCCTCTTGCTATTTTCAGTTGATAAATACGTGTGTAAAGTTTGTGAAGGCAGGAGGAAAGCTTCCGCAATCACCGTCTCCTCTCCGTTCATCCAAACCCCGCCCCCTCCTGAGAAATAACTAATATTAAGAGTGACAGGCTGATAGTGACCTGATAGAAACTTTATTAATCACTGATTGAGATGATGAAGCTAACTTAATCTCATACATTCATGGGATTTATGCAACAGTAAGACAGAGAATGTAAGTGTGCACCCACATGCACTATTTTTGTTTTTATAATGCTGTTGTAAATACTCCTGTTGTCTGCTGTGTTCAGACTTAAGTCATGTGTGTGATGCCTCATTCAGGACATTCAGTGTCCTTTTTTTAACAGCAGACCGTTGCTAGAAGCTGCAGCTAGACTGCAGAAGTATTAGTTTTTTGTTTTTGAGGATGGAAAAATGTCACACACAGATATAGGGAGGCTAGACCTATACAATTGATTAATTATGGTTTATAATTTAATGTCAAGACGAAGAAGAAGAACATATGGCTGCACTGTTCAGTGTCAATCCTGTGGAGATGGAGATCGAGGTTATAAATCTCCAAAATAATGTTCAGCTGAAGTCTCAGCAAAACATTTCTGGAGCCTTGTAGACCCAGAAAACTATAAGAACATTCACCAAGCAGCACTGAAAATGTCTGCTTTATTTGGCTCTACATCCCTTTGTGAAGCAGCTTTTTCTGGCATGAATGTCATCTAAATACAGAACAAGACCGACTGATGAACATGTAAATGGAGTGAACCTAAGTGGGTACACTCCAGCATACGGACTCCATGCAGCGCCAGTCATCTCACTAACTGTAAAAACGAGTGAATGCACTTATTTTACACATGCCATAAGATGCTTGTAAGGTGGTGATTAAGGCGATGTATTTATTATGTGGGCCATAATAAGAAGTGAAAACATTGTATTTTTCTCTTGGACATTTATGTGAATCTTCAGTGATGTACTTACTATGTTGTCCATATTAATATGTGAGAAATTGTCGTTTTCTTGGACCTTGATGTGAAGTTAAGATTTTAGATAAGCTTTAGGTATTGCAATTTCACACAAAAGTAGCTTAATTCAACTGATGAGTGCTATGTGAATAAATGTAAGCGATGCGATGCAAGTAGCTCTTGGCCACTTTCATTTTTTCAAAGTAGCTCTCAGGTGGAGAAAGGTTGGAGACCCCTGCTCTAGAAAGATCTCATGAACTTCCCCACTCAATCTATCAAGACCCGAGCAGTTCTATTAGATATAGGATAAGAAACAGAGAAAGGTTCTGACTGCACGGGTGGGTTGTCATGTCAATTCTGATCAGTCTATCTCTCGATAGACCTTTAACTAGTTTACAGAGAGTTAATGAGCATATTGAGGGAGGCGAAACATCTGTGGAGCTTAGAAAGCCAGCGTTCCCACAGTCGTAAACCATTTCGTGACCGAGAGTTGAACTGGTTTATCAAGATAGCTGGAGCCTCCCATTCCTTAAGAGAGATAACAGAGCCAGGGTTTGGTCGTAAACGTCAACAGCCAAGGTTACATATCTTAGGAGTAAGGAAGAATTATTCTTTGACACTTAGGAATAAGGAAGAATTATTCTCTAACAAGTATTAGTAGAAAAGTATAATTAGTGAGATTAAATTTCTATTCAGTGTGCTCATAACAACAGAAAATAAAAACTTTGATATTATGTCAACAAGTTTTTATTGAGAAGACTATGCTCGGATGTATTGATCAAACTAATAAGTCTGTCTAAGGTTTTAAATTTGTGATGAAGATAAGAGAACGAGGTGAAATGTCATCGATGGTATCGGGTCAGATTTGTCCTACTTTTTAAATGATGCGTGTGCTTGTGTGTGGGTAAACAGATTCCTCCTTGTTTTTGCATCATGTCACATCAAAGATAAAGATCATGTCAAACCTTTTTCGTGTCAGTGAGGACATGCATTCATTTTTAAAACGTTTCCGTGTTACCAAATGAACCTGGGGACCTTTTCCTATTTGTATTCATACAGCAGAAATGTTCAATAAGGAGTCCAGAAAATGTTTGTGGTGTTTCTAGACTACAGGAAGGCCTGTTGTGTTTCCTTTTGTGAAGACCTACGCTGCTGGTTCCTGGTTATGAATGAATCTATATCCATTAATCATGTGTCCTTGTTGTTAAAGTGTGTTTGTGTTTACTCGTCTGGGTTTCTCCTTCATCAAGGCTCACTGCACATCTCGGATATGAGCAAACCAGAGCCCTTTGTACTGTGAGGCAAATACATCTCAAAGATATGGCATGAAACAATGTGAAGTGGTTACACACAGACATAAGAGATGCACTTAAAGACAGTTTTGTTAAGTGACTGCCCCTACCTGCACGGATGAAGTGAGCCCTGGTCCGCTGCAGTGCATGCTGGGATGTTGTGAAAGCCATTTCCTGCTTCAAACTTCTTCTTTTTGTGACCTCAAACAGCACAAGCAAGTTCTCAGTCTTCTCTCTGGAATCAAACTGTTTTCAGAGTTTCTCCTTGTCAGCATTAGTTTGCCTGAAATTCTGCCCTGGTTGAAAAAGGGGCTGAGTATTTCTTAAACTATTAACCCTTACTCCTCCCATGTGATACCCCCACACTGGACGTCTGACAGTAGGGGTCAGCGGCTGCATCTGTAGACTGAAGGTGTGTGAAGTAAAAAGGCCAGGTGTGCGGGGGGGGGGGGACAGGCCAAAGTCAATACATTTAACTCTAGATTAAAATTATTGATCCCAGCCCATTTGTGCACGATAAATAAAGAGTGAGGGGGGAGTGGGAGACAGCTGGGACTAAGTTTCCCCACGTTGAGTGTTTGCACCCTCCACGTTTGCCCTGAGAGGGTTGCAGCCCCCCCCCACCTCTCCTGATGCCTCATTCTTCATTTCGGCGGTGCCCACCTGCCATTGATTTTCAATTTGTTTTCCCCCTGGCTGCGGATCATCAGTTCATAAGGCTGAGAGAGAGTTTGGGGGGTTCTCCTTTCAGATGGGCTGCGCAGCAGACTGGGGCCCGACCTTTGCATGCATTCAGCTACAATGGTTGTTTTGATAAAAAATCACTTGTAAGTCAATATTTTTTTATTAAACTGTGCACAACCTGATTTGATGAATGTGTGATGTGTGTGTGTGGTGTGTGTGTGTGTGTGTGTGGTGTGTGCTGTGTGTGTTGTGGTGGTGTGTGTGTTGTGTGGTGTGTGTGTGTGTGTGTGTGTGTGTGTGTGTGGTGTGTTGTGTGTGTGCTGTGTGTGTGTGTGTGTGCTGTGTGTGTGTGTGTGTGTGTGTGGCGTGTGTTGTGTGTGTGTGTGTGTGTGTGTGTGTGTGTGTGTGTGTGTGTGTGTGTGTGCTGTGTGTGGTTGTGTGTGTGTGTGTGTGTGTGGTGGTGTGTGTGTGTTGTGTGTGTGTTAGCATTACTATACTTGTGGGGATCTAAATCTGTTTACACAGTCACGTGTGGGGACTCGCCTCCCTCATGGGGACAAAATGGAGATCCCCATGAGGGGAATCATTAATTTTAGGGTGAAGACTTGGTTAGGGTTAGGCATGTGTTGGTTAAGGTTAGGATAAGTCTCCAGGAAATGCATGTAAGTCAATGTAATGTCCCCTGAAGTGATGTATACATGGTGTGTGTGTGTGAAAATGACCAAAACAACTTTTTTTTTTATTGAATATTCTTCATTCTGCTTTTCAAAAAGTTCTGTATTTGGAGTCTCAAAGTATTTATATTACAGGTTTATAGTAAAGAATGTATAATAAAAAATGTGCACAGTCATCATCAATTTGATGGATACAGTGATTCCTCTTTTATTTGCTCCATATAATTAAACACAATCAAAGCACAAACATAACACATAAAAAAACCAAGACAAGGCAAGCGGGGTTTTCTATATTAAGAAAAAAGGAAAATTCAGCAGGGAGTTTCCCGAGGCGTATTCAAGCTAAGGAAGGGAATTATATCACGTACACTTTTGCCAAATTTCTCAAATGTATTCTCCTTATGCCTCACAGAGAAGGGATTGTTTCCATGTAAATTATATAATATATAATCTCATACCAGTCAGTTTAAGTTAACAACCTTATCAGATTGTTCAAATAACAGCCCTAGTTTTGACAAGTTGCTCACTAATTGCCGCTCACTGGAGCCGATCACGGAGACACTTCCATTTTATTAAATGAGGAGGACTTGGCACCGAAGATAAATGATCTCTTCAGGGAGAGATCTCTCATGCTCTGGCTGGGTGTTTTTTAGGGGGGGGGGTTTGCACATCGGTCCGTCACGCCCCCGAGCCCTCGGAGCGCTGATTTTTCTTCGGCCCCCAGTCAGCGCTGGCAGACAGCAGGTCTACTGCTTAATACCTTTAAATTGTTTTAATTTTCTGTCTTTATTGATCTCTCAGGGCGTGATTAATCAGATCAGTGGAGCAGGCAGTTAGTACATTAAAAACGGTCAGCCTCACGTCACGGATGATTTGGTGCTAAAGTGTGTGTGTATGAGAGAGTGTGGGGGGGGGGGGGGGGGGGCAGTTTGTGGACGTGTTGTGCAGTTCACTTTCAACGTCTCTATTCTTTAAAGTTTCATGCGTCTTTGGGAGAGTAACAATATACTGTGTCGCAGTGGATGGTTCAATACGAGGCTCACATGATGGGGAAATGAACAATTCGATTCATCATCAGAGGTTGAGCTCAGATGATGATTTAGATGATGAGGTTTTACTGTCGATCGCTGATGTGAAGCCGCTGCTAATGGCCCAGACAGAGCTCAAATGTCCCATTTTAAAACTTTAAAAAAATGTTTTATCAAGTGCAGATGGGGGTGCAGTATTTAAATTGGCACATTTCCAGGCATGTTTGCAGAATTTAATATTTCAAAATGTAGCTTTTGGGGATTTTCTTTTGTTCTGTTGCAGTAGGTGTTTGACATGAAACATGTTATTTCCGTATACATTTCTTAAATTCCTATCACAACTTGATCATGTGTGTAAAGTTTATGATTAACCTAAAACCACTTTACTTATCATACAGACCTCATTACACTTGTGTTCCTTCTGTGTTTCTCTCCACAGGCTTTGGGCAGCATGTACTTCATCCACAAGACACTGAAAAACATCCAACAGTATGATTTTAATGGTAAAAAGTTTATATTGCTATTACTCTCCCCTGGAAAGAAAGATGATTTAAGCTCCCACCATAAAGCACTCCCTTATGTTTTGGTAATGGCTCATAATTGGCTCTTACTTCAAATAAACAGCAATAAAAATAAAGGGCAATATTGCATATGATTCAAATGATTATGGTCATCTTTTTAATATCAGGAGTTTCAGGACATTTCTCAAGTGTTTAACGACAGTTTGATCGCTAACTCCTCCTGGTCAGATATTTGCAAAGAACCTGCATTTAAAGTGGAGCTGTTATTTTCCTGCTGCATAGTCCAGTCACGTTAGGCGTGAAAAAGCTCCTCAGAAAAGCTTATGGAAGAACCATAAACATCCCGCAGCTGCCACTCGCTGTGTGGCCCAATCCGATTGTTGTCCACCAAACACAGTCTAATGGCCCGCTTATAGATCCCCTCATCACGTATGCCGCTCTGATGAGGTTAACACCAGTTTATTGATTGCCGTTTGCATGTTTTCTCACTCTTTTACATGTCACCCCTCTAACAGTTAAGGATTTCAAAGCAGTGTCGGGACAGAGCAAGCACGTGGGCTCTCTGGACGGGGTCAGCACAGTGGAGAAAAGAAAAATTCCCAAAGAATTTCTGGCCTGATGTGAGTATGTATGCATTAATGTGCATGCCTATATTTGTGTGTGTGTTGGTGTGGGGAGGGGTACGTGAGGGCCAAAGGGAGATGTCACGACAGATGAGTCTACTGGGGCTGCCGCTCTGACAGGGAGATGAGACAAATTATGTGGAAGAATCAATGATTATCAGTTTGGCCCTTCACAGACACGGCTCGCTGCTGCTTAGTGACTCACTCTCATTTGTCTCTGTTGCAGTTCAAGTGGTCCAGGAAGGGCTTCATGAGGACCCGCTGGATCATACACAACCAGTACGTACCCTGCACCAATCTCACCTCGATTAGAAAAAAACATAATCTGCCCCGGATTTATATCACTTTCACTTTTGGTTGTTTTTTTGACTGTTGTGAAATCCAGTTATGCCTGCCCTGATGCCAACTGGCATTCATGTAAGCTTTACAGGTTTGCTTTGCTCAAATAGCTTTGAAAACTAGTTTGTTAAATAAAGAGTAAGCTCCCAGTAACAACAAATACTAAAATAAACCAAAGTCTATTCGGTTTCCCTTTCTGTTCCACCTGAGTGTTAACAGAACTGCCAATCCTTTACCTGACTTTTGATATTGACAACACAATTCCACTGAACTCACACCTTACTTTGAGATGTACAAACTCTGCTTCTACAATACATTTTTTCAGAGCAACATTTTCAGTTTAATCAATAATACCAGAGCTTTTTAGCTTCTTAAAGGTTTGTTTGGTTGTACAACCACAATTTGAACTGAGATCTGAACACATACATGATCTCAGAGCTGCAGCAGGGGCTAATACTGTCTCCCATTACCTCTATCACTATATTACATTACATGTCACTTGTTAGACGCTTTTCTCCAAAGCGACTTACATACTCAGTACTGTGGACATTCCCCACAGGAGCAACTTGGGGTGAAGTGTCTCAGGGACACAACGACATGCTGACTGCAGTGGGGTTTGAACTGTATCTGCCTGTGTTGTCCCCTGTGGATTTATTAACTAAATATTTTGTTATTATTTATTCAGTTTGGCAAAGTAATTGTCCACTTGATCGAAACAGAGCCATGGTGTCCTGCTGCTAACCCACACAGGCTACATTTTACAGAACACAATTTTATATAATGACAGAAGCAAGGAATATATTTGTATAGTGTCTGTTCTGAAAACCATTGGAATTATGTAAATAAAAGCTAAATATAGCTCTGAAATGAACATGATGAATGGCCCCGTGCTGCTGCTACAGCTGCATGTGTTCTCTGGGAACAATAGACTCTATCTGCTCTGCTGAGTTGTCACCTGGGGGGGGGGAACAAAGGCAGGCCACAATCAGTGTGCAACAAGATCAGGCTGTAAGTCAACAAAGCTCTTTTGTTGGATGCAAATTAATTGTTTTGCAATGATTGCCAAAAAAAAAAAGGAGCGGACGTTTCAACAAAAGAAAAACGTGTTTGTAGACTCAGCATTAACATGAGAGCAGCAACTGATAAAAGAGCTACCCATGATGAGTGACACCCGTGCACACACACACACACCTTTCAGATGTCAGGTGTTATAAAATTGTTTCCTGTTTCCTCTCTCTGCCTATCACCATATTCTGTCTGTGTGTTTTACAGAGGTCTGGACCTGGTTAATGTCCACCTGTTCCACGATGCCTCCAACCTCATTGCCTGCAAATCCAGTCCCTCCATTTACTCGGCCAACCGCAAAAACGCTCTCAGATATGTCATCAACAGGTCGGATACCCAGGCGCAAATTATGCAATGGCTTTTCCCACCTGGCAAAACACTGTTCCTATAAAGTGACAAAAAAACCACCTACAAGACATTGTATTTACTGTTTTGTAACTGCTTTGTCTTTTATATATAGAAACACACACACTAATACACTTCTCACAATCAACTTTCCTTTTATCTTTCTTATTGTGCATTTTAAAATGATTTCGGTATATGTTTCATGAGCCCAGTGGGTTTTCTGCCTCCTTCTGCACTGTATATTGTTTGTTATCTGTTACTCCCTCTATGAAGGGAATGGGTTTTCCCACAGATTTGGCTAAGATCATCATGTAAACAAGATATTTCAGGAATGTACATGAACTCTGACCCTTGAATGCACTGTTCTGAAATGATTGCACACACAGCCAGGTTTTTTATGGATACATCTTTGTGATTCCTGGCTTCTATTTCCTTCCAGGATATCAGACAGCCGGTACACTCCTCTGCCTTTCTTCCTGTTTGGAGATTTTAACTTCCGTCTGGATGCACTTAGTCTGGTGCAGGTATGTGACAGCATTTCTCCTGAAGGAATTGAGGAAGTGCATCACTTTGGCCTTTTGACATAAACCCTTCCTTTGTGTTTCTGTGAGCAGTATCTTTCCACTTCAGCAGATGTGCAAACAGTGAAGAAGGACAGCAGTAACGAAGTAGAGAAGATCATCTGCGAAGAAAAAGACAACGACCACCAGGTGATTAATGCAGTTTTATCAAGAAAACAATATTGTTTTCTGTGCTTCCTTTCCTATACCTAGTTTTATTCCACCCACAGGTGCTGCTCCACATTGAGGACAAGCTGTTTGCCTACCTGCACCAGGCGGTTTTCAGGGAGGACAACGGCAGAGCGGTGAGAAATCTCTCAACGTTGACCCACACTGATCCGGTCAGCTGCCCCACAGTCTCAGACAAACTATGCTGTGACTCCGACCTACTCTACTACAGGCTGCTTAGCAACAATCTGACATGTCTTCACATATTTTAGATTAGACCCTATCAGCGGATACACAATCCTTAGAATGACATTACAGCAAATACACTAGCTGTGGATTAAACAGAAGTGCGATAACTGTGACAGTAAACTGGGTTTTCCGCACGCACTTAAGTCTTACTCACTCACGTCACACTTGATTTTAATGGGTTCCTGTCGAGCTAATCAGAAATGGCTTCTATCCCTCAGCTCTTGAAGTATGACAAAGAAGTCTCAGTCTTTCATGATGTTATTCGGGAAGAGGACATCGAGTTTCCACCCAGGTAACCCAGCTAAATGCTGCAGACATACAGTATAAAAACTCTAACATATGTTGTTATTCCCCTAAATTCACTGTGTGTGTGTGTGTGTGTGTGTGTGTGTGTGTGTGTGTGTGTGTGTGTGTGTGTGTGTGTGTGTGTGTGTGTGTGTGTGTGTGTGTGTGTGTGGTGTGTGTGGTGTGGTGTGATGTGTGTGTGTGTGTGTGTGTGTGTGTGTGGTGTGTGTGTGTGTGGTGTGTGTGTGTGTGGTGTGGTGTGTGTGTGTGTGTGTGTGTGTGTGTGTGTGTGTGTGTCTCCCTCCCAGCTACCCATACAGTGAAGAGTACACTAAACCGACCCGGTACATGAACACTCGCTGCCCGGCCTGGTGTGATCGCATCCTCCTGTCACACACTGCCCAGGAATTCATCCACAGGGTCAGTACATGCCAGACCCGGCACCAGAACAAATCTAAAGGGAGGGCATATGATTTTCATGGGAGGGCACACAAAACCGCCACGTGCTGCGGGCCTGCGGCACAATATATATCAAACAGCAAGGCCAACAGCAGTGCGCAAAGACGCACACTTATCGCAAACATACACAAATAAAGGGCAACATAGCAACCACTTTGAAACATTGTGTGCGTGGCAGCACAGACACTGGTAAATCACGAGCAAGGCACACTGGTTACGGATGGCAGCTTCCTCATCGCTGCACTCGGAGAGAAATAGTAGAGACGGAGACGATGAACTGTTTAGCCCGCCTTGGGCATGGTTAATTTTCCTATGCACTGCACTCGGACATGCTGTGGAGTGAATCGAGTCACCTCTGAGAGGGAGTTGGTTGACAGCTAAAAAAGCTATAATATCAACGACAGCTGACACGTAATAACGGCTCCGTGCAGCTGATCTGCACCAAAGTACTCATTTCCTTATTTGTTTCCTCGCGTATCTGTCTCTCTCTCCACACACTCTCACATAAAATGTGTTCTTTTGATGCTTTTTAAGTCTGTAATGCGTGTTTCCAGTCGCAAAAACCTTTGACAGTAAAAGCCGCACGTATTGACTTTAAACTGTCTACAGGGGAAACAAAAGGCTGCGTCTGCTTTTAACGGATCTTCAAGCCATGGTCTGTTGTGTACCATGCAGCGGCAAAAGTGCGCTTCTTTCCTGAAAACAATCTCCCTGGATAACGATCCAGTTTCACCTGCTTGGGTTTATTAACCCCAAGATCATCGCTAACTAAGCCCCGGGGTTTGCCGAGGTCAAGCTTGTGACATTAAGGCGTGCTGCTGCAACGGAAGGTGCAGGGTCGCCAGCAGCACCATCGGCTGCAGTTCTTTCATCGCTATTTCGTTTTAATAAATCCTTAGACATTTTAAGCCAATTTTTTATGTCCATTTTGTAATTCAAACAGAAATGGGAGTCTACAGAATGCACAATAAACAAATCCAGAATAGGCGGCAGAGTGTGACGCTGTGATTGGTCTAAATGGGGACGAATCACAAATCACAACACATGCATTTATTTGACGTAGCCTGCGATTTTTTTTTTTTAGTTCTGACATCACATACATCGTAGCATAAAAGTTCACAGTTTATTTATAAATAAAAAAATAAAATATATATATTTTTTAATTTTTATAAATAATAAAAAACGTGTTTATTGGGGGAGGGCAGGAATGTCAAATGGGAGGGCCTGGCCCTCCCTGGCCCTCCCACGGCGCCGGGCATGGTACATGCTACTATCATAAAGCTGATATTCTTAACCTTCTGCATTGTAGCTCTCCTGGCTACCCCACACCATGTACAGGATATATTCTTGGTATAAGTAAGGCTTATATATTATACACAATTTGATACAATATTGCAACTTTTTAATCGTTTCTTGTTCTCACGTTATACAGTGGCTTCTGGGCCGATATTCTCACATGGCTAGTGAGTTTATTACAAGAATAATGTCATTTATTGTAAAAGATAAGCGTTGACATGTTCGTATCTTCGAAAACCCTGCGCCTCTTAGTGATGCAATGTTTGTCAAGCTTTTCGCAGGCTACGCAATAATAACAGTGACAGATTTGGCACTCAAAATTGATAGTCATTTTCATGACGATGACTCCTGTATTTTAGACAATAAAAGACAAAAACAAGTCTCTTATTTTAGCTGGTGACCATCGATTGTGACCATTTGGCTGAATTTAGTGTCGCCAACAGACTATCACCTGCAAATAGCTAGCTAGCAAGCTAATTAAGCTAAAATTAGCTTTATGAGTTGGTTGAAAATTACCGTCAGGAGACTCACGACGCAGAGACTATAAAATGACCAGAGTGTCAATAAAATATATAATTTATGACCCACTCAAAGTGTGTGGTGCTATATGTATTTGCAGAGATCATGCACCCTATCTGCATGTTCTTATTTTGCTTAGTTTGGAATATTTGATGGGGTAAATCTCTATTAAAATGTATACTGGTTGCTTGACCGGAAGCTTGCATCCAAGAGGAAGCTATCATGTCTGACCAAGTGCTGAAAGGACTCAAATATAGTCAGGAGGAACCACAAACGAACAAAACCTCTGCTGTTGACTTTCATCTGAAGGCAACTGTGAAAAGTTCTTTAATCAACTACAACATACGAATCCTACTCATTCTGCCCTAAGTCACAGATGTAAGCTCCAGTGTTGAAGTCACATTTTATTTCCTTTATCACTAAAAGTTCATTCCTGTTTTTAGGGAGATGACGGAGACAAGAGCCTCGTTTACGACACAGTGGGTCCTAATGTCTGTATGGGAGACCATAAGGTAACAGTTTAAATAGCTTCTCCAGTATATTGTACTTTTTCTGTTCTACATGTGGAGTAACTCTGCTGTGTTCTTCTTGTAGCCGGTTTTCTTGTTCTTCTCACTGAAGACGAATGACCATTGACTGCGATCCTTCTCAATGGTAAGTGCCAGTGAGTGTGTTTCTATACTATACAGCATGTGGAGGTGTATGTAGGTCTATGTGGTGATTCCAGAGGGGGGGGATTCAGTGTGTGAGAGCGATCACAGTAATCTCGCTGCGCTCCCCAGAGGGCCGTAACCCAGTCTGGCCCACAGGAGTCGGGATATGAACTAAGATGAAGTGCCTGCGGGACACGAGCGCTGCTTTGTGTCCAGGCAGTCGGACCACAGGCCATCAGCACCTCTCACTGATCTATGTGTATTGAATCCTCTGCTGTGTCACTGTGGCCACACACTAAGTGCATCGCTGGCCCGCTTTTCATTAATTACCATCTGGATGGTCGGCTGGAGAGACATGCATTGTGCCGGACAGCGTATTGGCATTTTTACGGTCATGATTTTGTTTTGCTGCCGTTTAAATGTATTTATTTTAGGGATGGACTGCTTTTTCATGAGGATCCCTCTTCAGAAGGCTGCAAAATAATGAGTCCACGCAATGAAGCTGCAACCAGCGCGCATTATCTTTTGTGTTTGGGAGACAAGTTAATTCCAGTGAAACAAATTCTCTGTATTTCTCAGGCTACGTTTACCCAGTAAAGAGAGACATTACGGTGCATAACATGTTAAATGTTACATCTTGGATTTCAAATAAATTAAGAAGTTTCAGAATAACATCGTTTGTGATCACATGGGATTGGTACGCATCATTTCCACAGAAAGCTTTAAATACATTTTTCATTTGGGAATAACTTGGAATTACTAACAATAATTATATAATAAGTAAGAGTCTTATAATCATAATCAGCACGTTACTTTATCTCCTCCCACTTTATCCTTCACGTGCACTGTGATATAGGGAAAAAAGAATTTCCACATTATTTGGATAAAGTCCCATAACTGTGTGTGTGTGTGTGTGTGTGTGTGTGTGTGTGTGTGTGTGTGTGTGTGTGTGTGTGTGTGTGTGTGTGTGTGTGTGTGTGTGTGTGTGTGTGTGTGTGTGTGGTGTTGTGTGTGTGTGTGTGTGTGTGTGTGTGTGTGTGTGTGTGTGTGTGTGTGTGTGTGTGTGTGTGTGTGTGTGTGTGTGGGTGTGGGTGTGTGTGTGTGTGTCCTCTTTCCTCTCAGCTCTGCCACAGTATCAGTACAATGGTTACCAGCCACAAACACACTCACAGCCAGCAGCGGGTCTCAACTCTGAAATTCCCCGCTGTGAAAACCCCGTCGTCTCATCACTGGAGTCTCACTAAAGACTGTCTCACTGCCACATACTGTCGACCTCAGCTCCAGAGCCACAAGCCCTGATTAATCTGCAGCTGGGATGGATTTCTCATGCAGATTATCACCTCACTCTCTTGAATGCAAAGTGTCACAAAATATATTCCATGACGTGTTATTAAGCAGATGCTTTTATCCAAAGCGACTTGCATACTCTTCAACTTTGCAGTCATGCCTACAGGAGCACATTGGGGTTAGGTTTCTCGCCCAAGGACACTTCAGCATGTTGACTGCAGGTGTTGGGATCGAAACTCTGACCCTCTGATTTGTAGATTACCACATTAAGCCCCACTAAGCCCCTGCTTCCTCTGATGATGTAAAGACTGCAGTGTGTAATTGTTAACCAACTATTTACTGTACATGTATGTGTATGCAAACATTCCTCCTTATTTTAACAAAAAATGCCATTTTCTTACAGGCAGCGTCCGACAAACCCCAGCAAAGGCATCAGAGATGTTCCCATACCTCATTGGCCATTTAGCAGACAGGTCACTTTTTCAGGTCATGACTTTTTTAAATGAGTTGTTCATGTAGCTAATCAGAATCCAGTGTCAAGAAACAAATCATTTTGTAGCTAAACATTACACCAACATTATTATAAGGCTCTAATATTAGTATAACTTAATACATGTGGGTTCTTTTTTATCAAGATTTGGATCTGTATGCTTTTATTTTATGCCATTTCTAGATCACGTTTTCTTTTTAAATGTTATTTACTACATCTGTAAGTAGATTGTATCCCTCTTGTAGACACAGTTGAGGAATTCTGCTATGTCAGTTCACTGATGACGTGTTTGGTCTGATGCCCTTTTTAGATTAAACATAATCTATGAAGGTATCTTACATTGTATTCATTTTTCTTAGCTACTTTCTCACAGTGACTTTATTCATGTCACATACTGTATCTCTTAACTGAGTCACTTCCAGATCTGGTTTTGTGTTAAATCTAACAATGACACTTTCTAGGCATCAAGATTATGTTTTGAATGCAGGAGTAGGAGCTGAATTGATTACCACATCACAACAGTATGTGTTTCACCCTGTTGAATTTAAAGGTACATTATTCGTACCAATTAGATTTTAGCAATCCTCACTCAGAGAAGGTTTTGCTAATGCAGACATCTTCTCCTCCCTCTTCGGGTTGGCATCAAAATTATTCCATTGCCAAAACAATTATAATGTAGGCCTCCCATATTTACTCGCAAATGTTCCTAAAGATGCCCTATTATGCTTTTGGGGGTTTTCCCTCTCCTGTAGTGTGTTGTAGTTTTTGTGCATGTGTGGTAAATACTCTGTCAACTCTAAATCCCAAAGTTTCCCATAATAGGGCCCCTTTAAGGGTTGTGGATGCATCAATACCACAGATTCACTTGAACTTCACAAAATCCTGTATACATACAGTACATATTCACGCGTGCACCCACACACAACACAGAAGGCACTGTTTGCTTTTGGATTGATTTTGTTTAGTTGAATCATATAGTCTTAAACTGTAGCATCAGTGCTGTATAATATTGTTGATGTGTGAAATGCTAGAATGTTTGACCTGGTTTTAATAATGACTAATTGAATTTAAAATAAGTTTGCTGATTGTTACTTCCATCCATCTTCTTACACGTTGTCTGAAGCTAATCCCAGCTGACATGTATTTTATTGTGTGTTTTGTGATTCTTACACAGCTTGGTGAAACAATATATACGTCATTACTTGATCATATCAATGTTGGTCTGTCAGTCATGCTTGCACAGTGGGACTGAAGCCTTGCCTAACAAGATTAAGTTAATAATCAGTGATGCCAATGTTTGTGTAGATTCAAGAGTGTGTTGGTGACAATCTTGTAGCAGTTCACTGTTTTCATTAAAAGGCCAGTATTACCTTTAGATTAACTCTGGTAACACTACAGCATTGTCATATTTCACTTTTTCAATAAAATATTACCCTCATAAAGGCTGCATTGTGTTGTATTTGCTTTAAGAAACTGTACATGCAGCCATTGTTGCAACACATTTAGATTTTGATACAGTCATCGCTTAATCATTCATAATAGTCACACCTCTGCAGGAAATGCTGGTAAAGCACATTTGTGTTATTTTCCTGTTGAAGCTGATAAACCTGAATGGTTGGTGCTACCAGGAAAAGAGAAGTGGATCTTGACCTACATAAATACTACCATGTTATTATATTAAAACATTAACAAGTTAGTTACTTTGACGTTAAGAATTCAAATTCTCACAAATGTTCATTTTTATGTTGGTTGGATTAAAGAAATATCGACCATAGTAGTGCAAAACGCTTGCACAGAGCCTGCCCCAACTTCACTGTCTTTCTGTGTAATGCATTTATTTTCCAAAGTTCTATTACTTCGCAATGATGTGAGCTGCACTTATTTTTCAACGCAGGAAATATTGCATCTAAAACAGAGGAGGTAATACGCTTGCCCTCTAAAGCTGGAGTGGGTTGCCTTTTTAGGAGATTTAGTTTTGATTGAAAGTCTTCCAAGGGTCAACAAATCAAGATTCAAACCTTTTCTTTGGGTAATTTCACTAACCAGATCAGGTTTGAGGAATACACCTGACAATTCACAACAATAATACTTAATCGTTTTGAAATATTTATCACATCATAATGGCAATGGAGACTTTAGCAATATTTTACAGAATTTGCGATTGTATGATTCTGACGTTAGCAGAACTACATTAAATGTAACTAAACTATACAAATACCTAAAGAGGTTTGACTTATTTAAAGCTAATGTAGGCCTACTTTCAAGATTCTTGTTGCTCTTATTGTCACACACTTCGTATACAAGTGCCAGTTAAATGAAATGTAATGTCAGGAGAATTGTTTTTATATTTGATGCAGAATTGTGTTTGACAGAATACTTTGGACTGACATCTGAAACATGTGGAGGTTTAACGCGATGAGCTTTATTGTAAACGATGTCTGTTGGTATTGATTTGATGTTGTCGTGGGCTGTGGGGGTCATTGTCTTCAATTAAACCCTACCACACTGGTAAATCACACAATATTTGACCTTTGACCTCTGCACTTATTTTCAGTGTCAGCGTTTTTTTGCTTGCAGTTTCATTCTTACTGTCACCAACAGAATAAAATACTGGCATGATGAGCCTTATACTGTAAATGATTTATTGTGCATATATTTCAAAAACAAGTTAACAAAAAGGAAAAACAAAGATATAAACCTGCAGTGTTTTTTTACCAACTACAAGTCAACATTCAATTTAATAATTTAGATGATTACCTGTTATTCAGAGTGGTTAGGCATGTGGTACATTATACGGCATGTTCATTTAAACTTATTTAGTGCCTTTTTTCTTACTAAGTGCACATTTAAATGCAAACTCCCTACAAATAGTTGTACTAACATGACTTAACCTGCATACTATTTATTTTAAATTGAAGGACCAATGATATTTCTCACCTACACTTTTATTTTATTCGGCAGTGGCACTATTTGCTTTTGTAGTGTTTGCAGTGTCAACTGTTTAAAAAGAGAATACGTTAATAACTTCAGACTACTATTTCATTTTTTAAATTCCCAATACCAATAGCATCATGCAGTTTCTATAGTAAAATGTTCTTGTATTTTTACAAAAATGGAGTGGATAACATAATTCCCCCACACACCCGTGTAACATTAAACAGGCCAGAGATACAGTAACTTATAAAAGTAAACGTCTTTTAGATTCATTTCTGCAGCCTGTTGATTGACCCCAGTGATACTTTGTTGTTGTACCACATATGACCTCTTCTGAACATGCTTTTTTCATTTAAAACGAATAACTCTCATAACAGCATGCATGAGTGCTGTGCAGTGTGTGATTCGCCGGAAGTGGGTCAGATATGGTGCGGGCCGAGGCGCAGCACGGAGAAAGCTCTGTGGTGTTTGCGCAGCAGCAGGCGGATCTTATCGTCGTCAGAGTCCGGGTCCAGAGGCTTGTTGTACTCCTCGTCCTCCACCTCGTTCTCCGAGGCCTCCCCGCCGGTCCCCGCCAGGCCGGACTGCGTGGAGCTCGGCTCCGAGGCGCTCTTCTTCCGCCACTTGGTGCGTCGGTTCTGAAACCACACCTACACAGCAGGAGTCATCTGGTTTACACACATTTCATAGAAAGCCCAGATAATGATTATGCATTACCCAGTTGGTGAATAGGTGAGATGGTGAGATATAACTGTGACCTCATGATGATGCGATGCACCGATCAGGACAAGATGTTTTTCTCCACAAGTAGGTCAATAATACTCATATGAACACATCATTTTAAAAAAACGTTACCAATGAACTTCTGTTGCACTCTTCAAAACCAGACTTATTTCAAACAACAATGAAGGAGACGCTCAAATGTGGAGAAATTAAAGCAAACAGAAAAATATTAAATTATTCTGTCTAATACCGGGGTGCCCAACCTTTTTTGAACCGAGAGCTACTTTTAAAGTTGCCAGTCTGCCGAGATCTACCAGTCCAAATAGAGAGGACATTACTGACAGCCTACTACCAGGTAAATACACACTTCTACTTGTATAAAACTGACCTTTCTACGATTAATACTTCATAAAATACTGCAGATCCTTTATTTTACCTCTTTCTAATCTACACACATACAAGTATTTAACTAAACAGTGTTGTTGATACAGAGTTGGAGTTTATTCACACGTCACATATTACAGTGGGTAATGTTTTCAAGAAACATTGAACAGTGCTGCCACATATGACACAGGAAAAAAAGAAAAGACTCTGAACCCTTTCTTTGCCATTATATAAAAAATAGTGTTGCTACAAAAGTATAAATTAGGCTTACTAATAAGACAACTCAGATCTGAAGCTACACAGGAATCTGCTGCCAAAGTGCAATAAAAAAGACAAAATTAATAGAATCAAACCCTTTTTTGTTGCATTTTAGTAGAGTATAAAAAGAAATGCCTTTAAAATAGGATGCAAGCAACACTAGTTTCTTAACCTGAATTGATAATAGACTATAATCAATTTAAGTTTGCATTCTTATACCATTTTGTACAATAATTATAATGAATAAGTTCAAACAAACTCAAACTTACAGCTGATTAATAACGGTATCTAACTTGTGTTTTTATCATATCAAAAACCTGTTGAAATGCTACTGTTATTTTTATTACGCATCGGCAGCCTCCAGGAATGCTTCTTTCACAACTTCACCGTCTTTGAAAGACTTCATGTGTTTCGCAAGAACGTGACTGACACGATAAGATGCTCTGGTAGCAGCCTTGCTCTTGTTGTTGGGCCTGGTGAAAATGGACTGCTGTGCATTTAGCTGTCCTTTCAGGCCCCTCACCTTTTGGAGCGTAGGGCAGAATTAGGAGGGAATTCCGTCTCGCAGCGTTTGTGCACTGTTTTGAAATGCCGCTCCTAAATTACCCTTCTTCGATAAAGCCACGCTCGCATTGCAGATGAGACAGATGGACTTTGAATTGGAATAGATACAAAAATAATCATCCTCCCACTCGGAGTGAAAATTATATATGTTTTGCTTCTGCCATAATTGCGGTCTTGTGTGTGTGCGGACTGTCACTCCTGTTGACACGGACAACGTTAGCGAACTTTGCACTGCCCACTGCTCACCAGCCACGCCCCGACACATGGGGTCACGCCGGCCAATCACAAAGCTTTGATGCGTTCAAGTGCATTATTCTGGCACAGGAAGATTATGTTATAGGAGATTAACGATAAAACAGAATATTGTTGTTCTATTTTTAGACACATCTCGCGATCGACTGGGAATCTCCCCGCGATCGACCGGTCGATCACGATCGACTGGTTGGGCACCCCTGGTCTAATAGAAAGGCACCTCTTTCAAGAAGCTATATTATGGAATAGGTCAACTTTATTTCTATTGCACTTTTCAAAACAAGAGTTGGCGCCCATCAAATCACCATAAAGGTCACATATAGAGAAATAAGAGAAGGTATAACAAATAAAATCAGTAAAGTGTTGGAGTAAAATGTTTAAATTGTCAAGCACATATCACAAAAGCAACATTTAAAAAGCTTTACCTAATTAAATACATCAACTCATTTTCTACTGCACCCCTTATTAATATAAGAGCTACTTCACACACAAATCAAGGTAACGCTCAAATGTGGAAAAATGTAAGCAAATATAAAAAGAAAAACATAAATTATTGGACTTAAAGTGTTTAAATGCAAAGCACTTCACACAAAAGCATCATTCGACACGCTTTAGCTGACAAGGTAATTCAACTTGTTTGCTATTACACCTTTCAGAACAAGTGTTACCTCCCATGAAATAACCAGAAAGGTCATAGAGAAATACAAGTAAACAATTCAAATCAATGTTTCAATTGTACGGCACGTCACACAGAAACTTAAATTCAAATGCTTAAGCTAATGAAATAGGTCAACTGTATTTTGAGTTACTTCACCAGAAAGTTCATATAATAAAAAGGAAAAATATATACATTATTTGAGTGAAGTGTTTAAATTGCAAGGCACTTCACACAAAAGCACATTTCCAAAAGCTTTAGCTAATTAGGTAGATCAACGTTGTTTCCTAAAGAAACATAGAAAAGGTGAAAGAAAATGTATTAAAAAAGCTTCGGCTAAATGTTTTGTAATCTTTACCTTGACTTGTGACTCGGTCATTCCCAGAGAATAGGCCAGTCTGGCTCTCTCCGGCCCGGCCAGGTACTTGGTCTGCTCGAAGGTTTTCTCCAGGGCAAAAATCTGATGTCCACTAAACGTTGGTCTGGTGTGTTTCTTCCTGCCTGACATCTCCCCCAGATCACTACCTGCAAATATAAGGAGAACAAAGTATTTAGTAAAGAAACGCTGGATTGTTCTTACACTGAAACATATAAGTACAATTATATTCTATTGGTTTCTGCTGGAGGTTTGGGACAACAAACATTACGATTTTTACTATCACCCATCGTCAAAAAACATCGTCCACATATTATATGAGTGCCATTTTTTGAACATTTGATTTGATGTTACAACTGCCCCATACATTTATTCAGTGCCGCGTTGCCCGTGAGCAAAGCATCAGACCCGCACACTGCTCATTAAGCGCATAATAGAATAGCTGCCCACTGCTCCTAATACTAAGATGGGTTGAATGCAGAGTAACAATTTCACTGTGTGTGCTGCAAACTAAATCCTCCATTAACAATTACATGTATATCCATTCGAATTGTACACATTTAAAATATATTAAAATGAATAATATCTAATTCAATCAATGAATCTATTTGTCCTATTTTTGAATTTTACTGGCACCATTGTCTTGCAATATTATATTGTATACTTCTATTACTAATTGTATTTATTTGACATTACATTACATTGCATTTAGCTGACGCTTTTATCCAAAGCGACTTACAATAAGTGCATTCGACCAAGAAGATACAAACTTGAAGAAAACAGAATCATATAAGTACATCAGGTTTCATAGAGCCAAAACATTTCAAGTGCTACTCAACTGGCTTTAGTTAAGCCAGTCCTTTATTAGTATATAAGTGCTTTATTAGTATATAAATGCTTTGATAGTAAGTATATCGCTCTATTTTACGAGGTATTATTAGAGGAGCTTGGGACTTTAGATTTTCATTGCCTAAACTTAGCTGTAGCTTTTGTGCACATGACAATAAAGCCTCAAAAACTTTAATTTAATCTTAAATATGTTCAAGTATCTGTTTTAAAAAAACCCAAACAAAATGTTGGTTAAAACATCATGTATCTGAGTTTGTAAAGTTAGTTTATATTTTGAATCTCTTGTGATTTGTGATTTGGGTGAATTTGTCTTCTAAGGACGTTCTGGCATCTTTACGAGTCCTCCAGTGTCCTCAGAGACAAAAGAGTAACCATTACCCAAATGAAACCTAGTCTACTTTCATGCACCAGTTTAAATGACAATGTGATCCACATTTCTATCATTAGGGTTTCCCCCCTACTTTTCTTTGTATTTATTAAAAAAACACAAATATAGATTGTCCAAAGGATATTAAATCTAAATCTGAAACCTCATTATTCTGTTTATAATATTCACAGATTCTCTTATCTTCATCTTCCGGTTTCAATAAGTAATGGCAATAAACCACATCTTATCCTAGGTATGGATATGAATCATGAGTATTTTTTTATATATCATAATACTGTGTTGTAGGGTCTATGTTGGAAAAACAGTGTCCTCAGAGACTCATGGAGGTTGTAATGCTGCTGTTGACCCCCCCCCCCCCCATCAGCTGAAGGATGGAGACTCACTGTTGGTGCACGGCTGCCGCCCCCCCCTCCACTCACAGCCGCTCTCCGCCCAGCAGCTGCGACCCTTCATGGAGCATTCTGCGCCGGGCTTGGAGAACCCACCCAGGGGGGAGTTGTAGTCTCGGTTATAGTACATGGAGGTGCTGCTGACGGAGGGGTTGAACCCCCCCATGGTGGAGTATCCGGACAGCAGGGTGGTGGTCCCTGTGGCGCCCATCCCCATCATGGAGCTCCTCAGGATGTCGCTGATGGTGTGCGGCGTCCCCGGCTGCAGCTGGCTGTTCAGAGCCGGGTTGAGCTTGTAGAAAGAGTTGGGCACAGAGTACTGGCACACCGGGGCCTTGAGCTCAGAGGAGAACTGGTTCAGGCTGTTGTTGAACAGGAAAGACCCCTGGATGTTTGGATCCATGGGAGGTAGTGTAACTCTGACTCCAGTGACACATCCAATAAGGTCCAAGCAGGAATAGACCTCAGATAGGCCCACACAGAGTTCCTCACCCACAGGCGATGTCTTGGATCTGGGATCAAACCCACTTTCTTTCCAGATATTCGAATAACAAAGAGCGATTTTAAAGTTCCGGTGTTTACAAAAGTTCCTACCACATCAGAAAATGCAGATAAACTCTTCACCTCTTCTCAGCCACAGTGTGTTCTGTGATAATCCCATATCTAACGTCGCAGGCGAGCCCTCTGGATTCAGGTTGAGTTGTTCTGCTAAAGACGCATGCCTGCCACCGGCGCTCTCCTCAGAGGTCATAAATAAGCAGTATCTGGAAATGGAGTGGCACCTTGATAAAGATAGGCCATATTAGAATGCAGCCTGGGATTGGCCTGGGTCTCACAGCTTTAATGCCTCTCTATTGGCTCCTCGCTGAGAGCCAAGCCTTTTATTGGAAGGCAGCAGATTAATAGTGTTTTGAACAGGTGGAGAGGGAGCAAGTTGATTTTTTGATGGCCTGCCATGTCTGAAGTGGTGGAGCAGAGGCAGCTGAGCACCGAGTACACAGAGGAGGAGAAGAAGGGCTGATATGTGTCCCAGTTTATCAGTGGTGGGATGTGGTTTTAAAGCAAAATATGTGTTTTATTGTAAAAAAAAATACATTACCCAAAAACATAATCTACTTTCATGCACCAGTTTAAATGACAATGTGATCCACATTTCTATCATTAGGGTTTTTCCCCTACTTTTCTTTGTATTTATTCAAAAAACACAAATATCGATTGTCCAAAAGATATTTGAGATATTAAATCTAAATCTGGAACCTCATTATTCTGCTTATAATATTCACAGATTCTCTTATCTTCATCTTCCAGTTGGCAATATACCACATCTTATCCTTAGTATGAATATAATTTTGTATACATCATAATACTGTGTTGTAGGGTTTTATGTTAGAAAACTTAAAAATATCCCCCCATTTTATTGTTTTAATATTTTCTCTAGTGCAGTGTGAAGTCACCATCATGCAACAATACACTCAATATTCAACCAGCAAAAGTTTAATTTATCCAAAGTTGTATTAATGCTTATGAAGCTTTTTTAGGTCGACAATGTGACATTTTGGTGAATCTAATTTAAATGTAATTGTATTTTCCATTTTTTTTCTTAACCCTCAGATGCACAAGTTATTGGACCCTACAATTTCCCGTTAGAATAATATATTTTTATGCCATTTTTGTAATTTTGTATAAGAATCATCACTATTTAATTTCGTTCCACATAAGAATGATTTCATGTTTGAAATGTAAAAAAAAACAAAAAACGTTTTGAACATATTGATAATTGAAAAAGAAGAAAATTATGATGCGCGCACACACACACACACACACACACACACACACACACACACACACACACACACACACACACACACACACACACATACCATGTATACATCACTTCAGGGGACATTACATTGACTTACATGCATTTCCTGGAGACTTATCCTAACCTTAACCATAACCAACACATGCCTAACCATAACCAAGTCTTCACCCTAAAATTAATCATTCCCCTTATGGGGACCTCCATTTTGTCCCCATAAGGGCAGCGAGTCCCCACACATGACTGTGTAAACAGATTTAGGTCCCTACAAGTATAGTAATGCTAGGCCACACACACACACACACACACACACACACACACACACACACACACACACACACACACACACACACACACACACACACACACACACACACACACACACACCACACACACACACACACACACACACACACACACACACACACACACGGCCTACGCAGTAGAACTGCATGTCTAGAATCAAGCATTCTCTCTTCAAAACATCCAAAGCTTATTTGCAGTCACATTAAAACATGCCTGCAGCTGATCAGTCAGAATACCTAAAGCGTGTTTCTAGGTCATGGGATGCTGGGGGTTTTCGAGGAAGTCATGTGATAACTTGAAAAAAGTTAGTAACTTTCCGAGAGTGATGTAACTTTTGGTTTCCCGACATGGCTTCATTCTGTCACATGCTCCGGGCTGCCAACCAATGAGGTGTTGAGAAATTACGGAGTGTGTGTCCAGCAGAGGGCGACAGAACTCGACACACACTGGTGTGTCATTTGAGGTAATGTTCAGAGTAAGGATCATTGCACACACTCATGTCTGAAGTTCCCTCAATTCCAGTGGGCCAGACAGGGAAGTGACATCCAAAATGTTGCTGGTATTTGCCATGACTTAATCCACTGCACCTTGGACAATAACCACCAACAATGTGTTGGCTTATTGAAAGCATAATTGCAGGATTCTTGCTTTTTTAAATGTAAAAAAAATGATTAAAAAATGGTCCGTTTTAAGAGTTTCTATGTAAAAAGGTCATGTTGCATTCTATTTCCCAAACAAAACAGCTAAATGTAGTAAAATAGCAGCTAAGAATCCCATTTACAGTAAACACAAGACATGACAGGAAACTGGAACACGAGAGCTTGCTTGTTAAATACATGAGAAAGGTGCACAGGCAGAAATAAGAAGTTATTATAGTCTGCAACATTAAATAAAAAACAATTGCAATCGAAGGACACGATAGTAAGAAAGACCTGCAAGCTGTGCATTTCATATATATTGTAGTACAAAAGCACAATCACAAGACGATGAAAGAGAATTCAACTAATTCTGTTTGATTATTTAATGTCACCATAAAACAATATCACAGCATGATGACAGAGAATGAAACTGATACTCTTTTATAATCAGCCTAAATTACACAGTGAAGGACATAACATCAACAAAAAACTCCCTGCTATCAGCTGAAGGTAACTTTCCATGTTATGGTTCCTCCCTCAGACCTCCTGCTTTCAGTTTGATGAGGGCGGGATGTTAGTGTTTACATGCCCCACAGGCAGCATGCTTTAAAAGCAGGACAACACTGCACTTCATGACAAACGATCCAAGATACAGACAAGAGCACATGCACTCTACAGACCACAAGAACATAACCTCTGCCTCTTCAAGATGGTGAAGGACACTAGCAACAGGAACTCTGGTGAGATTTATTTTCGATTTGAACTTTTATCCATGTATTTTTTCTTTTAATGTTTATTATCTTTGCTTTTTAATGACTGATTTTAAATGTCCTTTTCTTAATGTCTTTCATTTTTTGTAAAGCACTTTGAATTGCCTTGTGTTGAAAGGTGCTATAAATAAACTTGCCTTGCCTTCAATCTTTGCAGAGACATTCATATGGAATTTATTCTGTCAATAATAACCATCTCAATTTCTCATTAAAAATAACTAATAATTTGGGCTTCCTGTAGTAGTCCAAATTATTAGTTATTCTTTTTAGTTAAATCTTTTTTGGTGAAATATTATTTTGCTGTATGTCAAAATGATCTTTAGTTACATTTGGTTCGCCAACATTAATATAGTTTAATGTTTTTATTTAACCTAGTACTCATACTGAAATAAGAAAATATAAATGATATCAACATTTTCAAATTCAATCATTTTAGAGACATTTATTTTCACTTTTCATGTTGGAGCAAAAGTACATTTTGTGTAAAAAGTAAGAAAATAAATGCATTTCAAATTTTAATTAAAACGTATTATTGTCGACAAAAAAAGGTTAGTAAATTAAACATTCCTAGTATGAATTAAGTATTATTAGCCTCTTAAATTAATATAGACATCATCCATACATCTTTTTGTAGGAGATGCTGCAAGCCACTAATCTGGTCATTCCGAAACTAAAGACCTGATAATGTTGAATACAAAATAGAAGCCAGGTCTTTATGATAGCGGCTGTAGAAAGGGATGATTAGCAGCTGAGATAGAGGCTTTTATGATGAAGGAGTTAATCCTTGCCAAAAGCATTTACTGGAAACGTTCAGCTTGTCACTGAAATGCTTTACATACAGCTCGTGGTTTCTCAATGCTTCATTTGGGTAGAGTCTCATCAGTTTCTGCAAGCCGTCCTTTGACAAATGGACACATCTTGTGAATGGACTCAGGGTTCACTTGGATGATTAATCCTCTGCTCCTCCAAAGTCAAATCACATTTGCTGGTTTCAGTATTACTCGTTTTCTGGTGAATATTCTGTTAACCCTAATCAAAATCCACTCAACCTAGCAGTAAAGGTTAAAGATTAAGTAGCATCCGGTTATAAATGTTAGATAAATTGCCCTTCATAAAGACATTATTTTGTTACAGGGCATACACAGCAACATCATATAAAACTATGATGAATTACAATCAACAAATCAGATGAAATTAAGACATCAAATAAATATTTCTGCACACATTGGCAGTGCAGAAATCTTCTCAGCTTGTTGTTGTCTCTGTGACGCACTTTCATAACGATTCCTAACTTTATTATTATAATTTTTTTCCAGATCACAGCCCTCACAGGTGCTGCTGGTCCTGCCTCGGCCCGCTCAGCTTCCACTATCAGGCGGTGGGAGACATGGTGCGTCTGAGTCGGGGGGGCCTCCTGGCGGAGAGGAGGGAAAACACCTTCAAGAACGGCCTGGTGTTCAGCAGCCGCCCGCTGAAGGTCCAGGAGAGGATCCGCCTGCGGGTGGAGAAGGACTCCTTCAACTGGAACGGAGGTCTGCGTCTGGGCTTCACCACGGTGCATCCCATGACAAGATCTCTGCCCCTGCCCATCATGGCCATCCCCAACCTCACGGAGACCCCGGGGCACTGGGCAGCTCCTATGCACGAGTCCTTCTGCCAGGCAGGCGTCGAGCTGGAGTTCTGGGTCTCTGCTAGAGGCAACATGTACATCAGCGGAAACAACGGCAGGGAGCAAAAGCTGCTGTCAGGAGTGGATCTCAGCCGGCCGCTGTGGGCCATGATAGACATCTACGGACAGACGTGCTCCATCTCCCTCCTGGGTATGTTTACTATCATAACAACATGCTCGCTGTTTGCCTTCTTCCTGCTTATTTACAGTAGCCACATACAAAATAATTGTTCTATTGTTAGAACATATTTTAATACTTCTACTTCTTGCTGCAGGCTCAGAGAAAAGGGAGTTTTTTCACACCAGACGCTCCTGTCCTGCACCTGAATGCCTCACTTCAACTGAGGTTGACAACCACTGCAGTTTGATGACTGATTCTTCAAGTCTGGATGGAAACAGCGATGAATACATCTCCTGTCTTGAAGGCCCAGAAGGTAAGAAAGAGTCCTTCAAACCCACATTTGATTTCAGTGTATTGCACATTTTGACCAGAGAGAACCTGTATATGTAGATTTGTAATCATGGTTCCCAGTGACGTGCGATGAGGTTCATGGCTGGTGAGACACTGACGGCCCGTCTACACTACAGGCGTCAAAAAATGCTTTCAACGCTTCGCCCATTCATTTGAATGGGGTGACGTAGGATATTTTCAAACTTCGCCGAACTGCATTGTGGGTAGCATGGCAAGGCGTTGCAAGCATCGCGAGCGTGTATCGGCGTCAAAAGTTGAACAATGTTCAACTTTTGAGGCTCGATGCTTGTTCGAAGCTGGCGTCAGCCAATCAAATCCCGTTTTTGCAATTCCCGCCAGTACAAGCGCTAGCCAATCAAACCGCGTGCAAGCTGGGAGAGCCAGACCGCAGTTCATTTCCTCATATTCCAAACGAGAAATTACGGTAGCAAATCACCCGGTTCTTTCCGACCAGAACTATTTACCGGGATACAAACCGGAGGAACCAGGCATGGAGGGAGGTGGCAGAGATAGTGGGTGAAACTGGTAGGTTTTCGCCTGTTTGGGGATTTTATATCCAGTTTACTTCATTTTAACATTGCTATTGCTTTGTATGTCGGGGGCGGGAGATTCATGTGATTGGTTGTTGGTCGCGTTGCTCGCAAAAATTGTTATGCCTGTAGTGTAGACGGGCCGTAACTCTTTCAGAGTAAGATTTACAAATATTATATTTTGACCCTAATCGAAATATTCGGTTATTTTCAAAAGCTTTTTTAGTCTGATGCTTCAATTCATTTTAAACAGACCGTTCAACAAAAGTATAGGCCTACCTACAATTTAAATATTGGGTTGTTCTTTCTTAGTAAGATTCCATTTGCATTACAATTGTGGTCTTACCTTGACTTGAAGATGAAGTCCATGCTATCCTTCTGGACAACAATCTCTATTACTTTTTTGTAAAAGTCCTCCTTATCTTCCTGTAGTTTCAAAAGTCTAGTTTGTTGTTTGCGTCTACCGTCTCTGCATAGAATAACAGTAGCAACAAGAACCTGTGGGCTCACTTGCGCCCCCTTCAGTGCGGCAGAGGTTATGGCTGCCTCCCCTGGTGCTTTTTTCATTGCCGTTGTATGATGAGACCAGCGAGCCTAAATATCATATATACGTGAAATAAGTTATTTAGAGACTATGGATGGCGAGGATAAATGTAATAAAGGGATCTACAAACATTACATTGGTGACATACAGTGAGATGGTGCAGGCATGCGCTTAGGGCCCGCTTTCCAGCCAGTTTCTGTGGGGTGACGCATTCTGAGGTGAGGCAGATCTCATCTGTGCCGCGGGCCCGTCTACACTACAGGCATCGAAAAATGCTTTCAACACTTCGCCCATTCACTTGAATGGGGTGACGTAGTTGATTTTGAATCTTCGCCGAACTGCATTGTGGGGAGCGGAGCGTGGCTTTGCAAGCATCGCGAGCATCAAAAGTTGAGCAATGTTCAACTTTTGAGGCTCGATGCTTGGCATCAGCCAATCAAATCCCGTTTATGCAAATCCCGCCAGTACAAGCGCTAGCCAATCAAACCGCGTGCAAGCAGACCGCAGTTCATTTCCTCATATTCCAAACGAGAAATTACGGTAGCAAATCACCCGGTTCTTTACGACCAGAACTATTTACCGGGATACAAACCGGAGGAACCAGGCATGGAGGGAGGTGGCAGAGACAGTGGGTGAAACTGGTAGGTTTTCGTCTGTTTGGGGATTTTATATCCAGTTTACTTAGTTTTAACATTTCTATTGCTTTGTATGTCGGGGGCGGGAGATTCATGTGATTGGTTGTTGGTCGCCTTGGGCGCGAGAAATCGCCAAGCCTCCCGTCTACGGTCTACGGTCCACTACGGCTTGAGCGCGCTCACAAAATAAGTGCCCGCGCTAAATTAGTGCCCGCGCTCCAGCCAATTACTGTGGGCTTACGAGAGGCAGAGCTCGTCCCTGCCTCACTTCTCATCGCTACCCGTAGTTGTAGCGGAGCTCAGCAAATTAGCTGATTTTGACTATAAAAAGCGATTGGAATCATACATAAATCACATTTACAACACAGATCAGTGGAGACATTTTATTATTATTACTATTTAGTTTTTCTTCAGTTGTTTTTCCGTTACATTGGAGTATGCACGTCGCTGATGGTTCCTCTGTTTTGATCACAGATGGAGACGCATCGTGCTGCGTTGTGTGCATGGAGACACAGGCCAGCATCACTCTGCCTTGTGGCCACCGGTGTTTATGCAACCACTGCGCCTCCAAAGTCTTGAAGCTGTTTGGCACCTGCCCGCTGTGCCGACAGAACATCAGAGCTCCATCGGGGAACGGGAGGAGAGCCTCCGTCCGTGCCTGAGCTCCACCAGACAGGACTCACCCAACATAAGCTGCGGAGAGACTGTGACAATGACAACACTTAGAATAGCCCATACTAAATGTTAGAATGTGCTAGTACCAGCAGACTACAAATGGTTCAGAACACTTCAAAAGAGATGTCAACTTAAACTACTAAAATCAGTAAATTGTTGTGTTAAAAGTTTAAAAGAAATCCGTAAAAACGTTTATGATGATGATTTCATGCGTTACATTTTATGAAAGGGATATTTGAAAATTGCACTTTGATTGTGATTTGTAAAGAAGCAAGAAGCCATTTGATTAAGACGAGCCTAATTTTGTTTGCAAGCCCAGCCCGATGTGTAATGTCATTTACACTCACTGTATATATAAAATCCCTAATTTTGTAAATATGAAATCAATTTATTGTTGTACAGTTATTTTGTTCTTTTATTTATTGTTGAATTGCCAAAAAATGGATGTAAAAATAAACATTACATAAATCTTAAAAATGAACTTTTCTGTTCTTATTTGTGTGTGTGTGTGTGTGTGTGTGTGTGTGTGTGTGTGTGTGAGTGTGTGTGTGTGTGTGTGTGTGTGTGTGTGTGTGTGTGTGTGATGATATACTTCATGGAAACATGATCTCACTCTGAGGCATGAAAGGATTGAGGTTGAGACTCCCTGTTTCTGGCTTCTCTCATATTTTGAGATTAAACCTTCACTCTTTTGGGATAACATGTTGATGTAAAACTGTTCTTGGTTTACACACAAATACTAGAATATTGTGTAGTTTTGGGAAAGTTTGATTTAATATTTGGCAGCACCTTTTTATAAATATTATTGTTATGTTAAGCCGTTCAGGTTTGATCCTAAAGTGTTTAATGTGTGGCCTTGGAATAAAAGTGAAATCCCCCTTCTTCATCCTGAAATAACATGAGGCCATTTAGGGACAGCCAAAATTAGTTGTGGGTAAAACACTGACTTATTATCAACCTTTAAGTTGATATGACAAATGTGTTGCGTATTTAAACACCCAGCAGTTAGAGCAACACAAACAATGATTTTGTGATGTGGAAAGCATGTGGCGCAGTGGACTAGTGCGTTGGTGTTCGGATCAGCATGTCGTTGTGTCCCTGAGACACTTCACCCCAACCCCTGTGGGGATTGTCCACAGTATTGAGTATGTAAGTCGCTTTGGAGAAAAGCGTCTAACATGTAATGTATAAACATTTTGTGTCTTGTACCTTTTTAGTTATTTATTACTCAATGAGACTAATTCCATTTAATCAAGGGATCATGGAGATAAGAGGTTGTTGAAAGATAGGCATATCATTCATGTCGCAGATAATTATGTTCATGCACATGCACACCACAGACCACTGGTGAGACTGAATCTACAGTTATTCATAATTGTTAAGTCTGCACCAGGAGCCATTACAAAGATATATTTAATGAATCCTCAAAACTACTGTATCCTAACATGCTATACTGTTTACACAATAATTATCGACCCACCCATTCATTTTTGTCCTCTGTGGAGCACATTGGGGTTTGGTCCATTACTTTGAGGTTATACATGCCACAGCATTAAGTCCAATTGTACTCCACAGAGGACATCCTGGGCTTTTCAAACATATGACATATGTGGGGGTGTGGCTTTGAAAAAGATAATGTCATTGTATTTCAAAATGGCGTCCATCAACACAAGCACTATTTATAGAAAGAGAAATGGTAAGTTTGTAATTTTGTAATTACCAGTGTTGTGAGTTCAATATAATTAATTATAGTAAGGGAACATCTTAGGAGTTAGTGTAGTGAGTTTTCAGAGCAGTGTAATACTTATCTGACCTAAAAATAAATGTTTTTATGAATGTCCTCTGAGGAGGACGTGGGGATTTGCTAACTTTTTATTTCCCCCATTTTACACAACACAATGGAGTCCACTATGGGCCCAAACTAACACAGGTTTCTGTAGGGTTCATGGCAGACGGATGCAGTGGGAAAACATACATCAAGTGCCTCAAGTGTCAGATGTATCTCTGCATTTCAAAAAAGGATGAAGTACTACAAATGAGGGCTCAGTATGTGTTCCATTGAGTTGTTGTGCTCTAATGTTGTCTAAATGTACTTGTATGTTAATATTGTTTGTATACTATGCTTCGCATTACTAACACCCAATGTCCTCTACAAAGAACACACAATATAACAACAATACAAATACATATTTTTAGTTTTTGTTAGTCATTATGTTTATACCACCCTAAAGACTTGTGTGATAAAAAAAGGACATGTGAAACCTTTTTCTTTCTGGGTCTCAGGAGGATAACTTGATACTGTAGCTTCAGAGAGTTCCTGTAATTTAAGAGTTTCGTTATGACTTACAGGAATAGAATCTGATTACTGCAGCAAAGCAAATGATTAACACATCTGGTTAAATCACAGCCCAATAAATGTCACGGTGTGGTATTTTAAAAAGCGTTCATCCCCTGTCTTGTTTTAATTTATGTGTGCTTTGTGTGAACTCCTGCTCCAAACCATTCCATAACACCCCCCCACAGATTGTTATGCACATACTTCTCAGAGTTGTTCTGACCTTGAGTTGTTTCAAATGTAGGCAAGGCAAGTTTATTTATATAGCACCTTTCAACACAAGGCAATTCAAAGTGCTTTACAAAAAATGAAAGACATTAAGAAAATGGCATTTAAAATCAGTCATTAAAAAGAAAAGATAATAAAATAAACATTAAAAGAAAAAATACATGGATAAAAGTTACAGTGCAGTCTAAGATATGAATAGTTCAATTAAAAGCAGCGGCAAAAAGAAAAGTCTTTAGTCTGGATTTATGAGTAGTCAGAGTTGCAGCGGACCTGCAGGATGTAGATTTCCTCTCAAATTATACCCTCCCTCTCTGTCTATGAACAATGTTTGTAATTTCCTAGCAAGTAGATTATTTCTTGCTCTGTACATGATTTGTACAGTTTTCAATGTAACCAGATCAGTAAACTTCAGTGTGTGTGACGTCAAGAATAATGAATGAGTGTGTTCAAGATATCCAACAATATTGATTATTCTCTACCACTTTACAATAAGACTACCCTTATAAAGGATTCACAAAGGGTTTAAAATTAGGTTATGAATTAGGTTGTAAACACTTTATTAATCCTTAAGAACCATTTATAAACCAGTTCTAACATAGTTTTCATACATCAACACAGGCTCACTATTTGGCAAGATGACTAAGCCTTATATTGGCTACTTAGCGAGAATCAACTCAGTGAACAACAGATACCAAGGATGCTGGCTGATGAAGAAATCATCAATATGGGCAATATGAGTATATCATGGTCTGTAGTCCAGAATGTGTCTTGCTTTCCCCAATCTTTCAATAGTCTTAGTTTTGCTTTTACATGATTGATATGAGGTTTCCAGCTCATTTTGTGGTCTCAAACCACACCAAGGAACTTATTTACATATACTCTTTCTATGTTTATGTTGTCTAGTATTAATTGCACCTGAGGATTTGTTTTATGTTTTCCAAATAGCATAATCTTTGTTTTGCTTATATTTAATGATCATTTGTTCTTATCAAACCAAAGTTTTACTCGAATCATTTCTGCTGTTATTACCCCTATTAGCTGTTTCAAATTACGATACGATATTACTTTATTTGTCAGATCAAGTCTGAAATTTGACTTGCGTCACAGCAGCTCCATGTCCAACACCAACAGACAAATATCCAGACACAAATACATGAAACACAAACAACAAATATTTAACATAACAGCCCAATCAGTGAGAGAAAAGCTGCTCAAAGAGCCTTCAGCTGCATTTGATCTGATTCAGCTCTGTGTTTACTGTGAGGATTGACTGGAGAACAAAGGATGCTTCAGTCTGACTTTATTGAACCGTGGGACCCTGTATCTCCGATCAGATGGTAGCAGTTCATATTCACTGTTCAGAACATGGTTTGGGTCAGAGATGATGTGTTGGACAGCCTCACTAGGTTGTTATATAGGCTGAGTCATAGAGTCTCTGACAGGGTTGATCAACAATCTTTGAGCAGATTTTTAACAGGTGGAGCCATTTTGATTTTAAAGCTGCTGACAAACACTTGTACCAGGTAGTATTGCAGTACTGAAGAATGGACATGATCACAGATGTAAAGAACAACAGAAGAATTTCTCTGCTCGCCCCAAAAGACCTAAGTTCAGAGTTGTTTCTGCCTTGCTTGACCTTTTCCAGCTCTGTTTCTACCTGGACAATTTACAAAAAGGACTTTCCTTTAAAGTTACTTTGGTGTCCTCCCTGCTCTGCTTCCAGCGTGACAATGAAGGCAAGTAGTGAAAGACAAGCAGATGGTTCTCCCTTTGAGTGAATCAGTTTCAAGATTCCAGGCTTGGGAAGTAATGGATTACATGTAACGGGATTACGTAATCACGATACAAAAACGGTTGCTTTATTCCCTTTTATAATTGCATAAAAAAACATGTAATCAGATTATTGTAGCTGTTCTACATTAGGCATTACTAGCAGGATAACAATGTTTTAAGCAAATTATGTTTGACTGTACTGTTCTGTAGGATAATACTTTAAGTGTGAGTACGCCTACTGTCATGCGAGCATAATATGGTGAAAACAATCAGTCTAAATTAACAATCGGGACGGAAATGTTCGGATTTCCAAAGGGAGGTTCTGTGAATAAATTAAAAATCAAGAACTATTCATATCTTAGACTGCACTGTAACTTTGATCTTTTAATGTTTATTTTATTAGCTTTTCTTTTTAATGACTGATTTTAAATGCCATTTTCATAATGTCTTTCATTTTTTGTTTTTCTTTTAATGTTTCTTTTATTATCTTTTACTGTTTTTAAATGCCTTTGTCTGAATGTCTTTCATTTTTGTAAAGCACCTTGAATTGCCTGGTGCTGAAAGGTGCTATATAAATAAACCTTGCCTGAACTGTCTTTTGAGAGGCAGGTTTTATACTAAATCCCTTTCCTGTTACATAATACACTTCAGTAAAAAGTGTATCACATGTATTTTCTCTTGTATGTATTTCCTAAAGTTACTGAAAGTAATCAGGTTACTTTATCTTTATATTGTGATGCTCAGATTAAGTTACTGATTGCATTATTTCACAGGTGAATGGTCATTGTTACTGATTTCATTTTTAAAGTGACCTTTCCAACCCTCCATTTACGTATCCATTCAAACGTTCAGACTTTGCTCTTCAGTCGTTCACCAACACTACTGCAGTTCATTGGACCCCCTATCAAAATGATAACATCATGTTGGAGTTTGACCTGCGAAGACCCCTTCCTACAATTCACCTATCAAATAACTTAATTTACTTCCACCACATTTTTCTGTTGTCAGTCCTCCAATGTCCCATTTTATGAATCCTTTATTTCATCT